ATCCCTCACATTGCTACAAAACATGATGAATCTATTATTAAAAATAAGCAAAGAAAATAATGATGATTAAACAAAAGCCTTACCCGTTCTAGAGTTACTGGTAGACAAAATAATAAAGAACTACGCTTGAAATCAACTCATCTGGAGGTTTATTTTTTTTTTATCTTATGTTTTATATCTATGTTTATTTTATTTTCACCCAGTTCTCCAAATTATACTATCACCACTACCACAATCCCTATGCCTCCGCCTATTTTTTAACAAATATAAACATTTAATTCTGTACTATCATTCAATTCACTAGGAGTTTATATAAATATTACTTTATCCGATTCTCTGAGAAATTTTCATGAATATTTAGAGGAATGTTCAAACTTGAATGTAGAGTACGGCCAATTTCATCAACTTTATTAATGGAAAAATATGCAGTAGTTCTGTCGTGGCCTTTAAAACAATACTTACGACCGTTTTATGGTTGAGTTAACATTGTCATTCATGATTCGATTTTAGAGGGGGATACCAATGCTGACATTGACAGAAATATCGTTTTGTGTTCTTCTTTTACCAGTATCCCAAGGCATAGGCATATCATCTTTATCAGGACGTAATGTGTTTTGTACACTTTGTTAATCCGTCATCACTTTCATCCACAACCCGAAATGATATAAAATTATACATTAGTTATTTCCTCTCCAGACGACAGCTAGATTCATTTTATCGCTTTTTCCATCAAAAATAAAAATGTCAACAAGGATTTGCTCTTAATTTTATCAAATACATAATAAATAATCCTCATTATTTTTTAAAAAAATTATCCTAAATTTATGTCAATAAAAAAAAATATCTTAAAAAATATATAAATAATTTGCATATAAGTTTCATTAGTGTTTAATGGCATTTTTATAATTTAAATAGACAGCATTTTTTTTTACTTAACATAAAAAAATATATATCCCTTATCAAATTCTTTGACAAATAATTTCAGAAATGCAAGACATACATTAAATTTATCTGAAAAACAACAATAGCCCTATATAATAAACAACATATTTTTTAGATATAATTTTAATTCATCATATTACAAAAAAGTATAAAAGTCGGTTATTTTTTATTTTATTTGTCATGATTCTCTAATAAGTGGTTGCCCAGGCCTTCCTAGTTTCCCTTAATACGGAATTTACATGTTTTTTTTCCATATTAGACTAATTGGTAAATCAGATATTTCCCGTTCATGTGATGATATTAAAAATTTAACTACCTCCGAGGCGGGAAAAAATTTTCAAAATTATAATGGGTAGAACTGGGCTTGGAACCTAAAAATTAATATTCGCTTGCACCTGACTTGGGAATATCTTTTACAAATTATTAAGGGTTGAGCTGGGCTTGATAAACTTTTTTTAAATTATAAGATCTTGGATGCTTCCTAATATTGTGAGCTTGAACCTGGCATGATATCTATAGTAAAAAATGAATAAAAATCTCATTCCCCGTCATTTTTGACGGGCTTTTTACTAGTATTAATATATTGTACATTTTTTGCAGAGAGAGGGGTGGGGGAATTTTCATTACCTTAAAATTACGAGAACAAGGCAAATTTTATGGTGGGGGTGTCCACTTGCCTCCTCCCTAGCGACGCCTATGCTTAGGATCTAGCTATGAATATTTTGGCGTCATTCCACCCAAATATCTCGGCCTTAATGTAAGAATCAGCAGCGTAGCTTTAGCCATTCGTTTAAATGTAGCAGTTTCTGACTCAAAGAAGTATGCCAAATGTAAGCAATCTGGCCGCCATTGCCTCCAATGCATTTTTAGTAGTGAACATTTAATCAGGCATATCAATAGAAAAAAATTGTCTTTGCCACAACTTTAGAACCCAAGGTGTTTTCGATAATAGAAGACCCGATGGAATTGTTAGATTTCCTGGAAGAACAGTTAATTCCTAGGATGGAACTTTTTTTGCGTAAAACCCCTCTCACCCTCCAACATCAACGAGAACATTCTATAATACACACAGGCTCTTGAAACAAATAAATATATGGATATACCTGGCGAGTATCCAAAAAAAAATAACAACCTTCGTGAGCCAGGCGATTAGTCTAATTTTAAAAATTTGACAGACTCCTAAGGAGAAGAGAAAAAGAAGGAATATATCTACTAAAAATCTGCAAACCCCGGCCAGCAGGTCGAAAAATTTTAAAAAACGGGCTGGGATGGAAATTTATTTAAAAAATCATACCTGGGCCGGTTAAATATTTTAATGGGCCGGGAAAATCGTACATTAAAATATAAGGCCGCGCAGTACAAAAATATCAAACAGTGCTAATACTTGATTTTTCGTAAATTTTCATTAGGCAAATTCGGGCATTAAAGCTTTGGTATATTTTTTGAATTTCAAACTAATATTTTGATTAATACAATTTGAAAATAAATTACAGCATACTTATTTCTTTGTACTTTAAGAGTTGTCTAACTAAAATACTAAATCTATAAATAATATATTAAATTCACAAAAAATTAATGTTACCAATATTTTTGGATGATATAGAAACAGGGCAAATATATTGGGGTGAAAATTTAATTAATAATTGAATCTATTCTATTATACATAGATTACTAAATCAACACTCTACATATTTCATACAATCATAAGACATTTATAATAAAAATTTCCTGCAAACAGAAATATTTTTTTTTACAAGACCTTTATAATAATTCTCTGGTTAATATACAATTATATTAATTTTCATAAATGATAATAATAATGAATTTATTTAGCTAGAAGCTTGATATTTAGGTCATTATAATTAAAAACTCTGTAATTAATAGCGTCGTCGTGTGGTATAATTTTTTTAAGGGGGTGGGTATGAGATTTAAATGAAGTTTGCCTTCAGTGAATTCCTGTCATGTAGATATATACAATTGGTATTTAAGGTGTTGTTAAAAATGGTCCAACGTAAATTCGACGCGGCGTCAATTCAGCGCAGCGACAATTCGGCGCATATTTAATACAGCTGCAATTTATTATAAATTTATAAGTATATAAGGATGATTAAATAGAATTTTGAATGTTAGTCCTGTTAATTATTTCTATATATTTTTTTTACAAAATTCTCAATTATATTTACTAAATGTGTAATATCATTAAAAAATTTAATAATATTAAAAAAATGAACAACCAATATTTATACCGATTTATTTGGTGGACCAATTTACCATATTATAAGGTATGTTGATTAGGAGCCAAAGTTATGTAACCCTAGAGATTTGGTGCATAGAAGAATGAAAGAAATAATGAAAAAGAAAGGTTCGGACCTCTATCTCTAATCTTACATATTATTTTGGCTAAAATCATAATTGACAGTTTATAAAAATATGCCGAAATTGGCCCGAATAATTAATGCGCAATTTTTTATTTATATTATAGGTATTGAAATTATGAATATGCTAATTGAAAATAAAATTATAAATTTCCAGTGTCATTAAATATGAGAAATTTGACATTCAAATTATCATGGATAAAAAAATATAAGTGGCTTATCATGACATTGACTTAAAAAAATCAAAAAAAATTTTGTATGACTAGATTCATTGAAAGACGAGTCAGTGAAGCTCTTTATTGAACTATATGATGTTGTTTTTGCAGCACTGGAATTTTATAAATCAAGCAAAGGGAAAAGATTCAACAGATGCTGAGAATCTTTTGCAGGATATTATTTAGCCACAATTTTTAATATCCATTCAATGTGTTTATTTTTTATTTAATTATACATATGATTTTAGCAAAATGTTACAAAAAATTTATTTGGATTTAAGAGAGGTTATGAATAGAGTAAAGGATATTGTTGAAATATTAACAAAATTTCTTGAAATATATGGGAAAGCTAATGTTTGGGATTGAAATTGTTAAACCTAGAGTAGTTTCAAGAAAATCTAATTGCTCAATATTGATGCATCTAAGATTGAGGATTTTTATAAAATAAACATTTTTATTCCTTTTATTGATACATTTTTATTTAAATTAAAGGAAAGATTTATTAGCCATAATTTTATTTTAAAAAGCTTTTATTTTCTTTGCCGGTTGAGTCTAAACTGTTGATTATGCTTGAAACACGAGAGTATATTAGGAAAATCTCAGATACGTTGATGATATAGCAGGCTCATATGATAAGTTTAAACGGCCGATTTGGGTCTATTTTTAAAAACTTTTCCATGTGTAATTGCACTTTAGATTCCCAAATTTTTATCTAGAATAATCTCCTTATAAATATTTAATAGGGCTAATCCATTTAAAGGTTTTTCACCGGTAGTATTTCTTAAATAGGTTTTTAACCTTTTTAAAGTGAAAAAGACCTTTCATTAGTGCAGGTAATAATTGGTAATGTTTATAATGTGATAAATTGTCCACTAAAGAAATCGGTATAAATATTGATTGTTAATTTTTTTTGATATTATTAAATTTTTTATTGATATTACACATTTAGTATATAAAATTGAGATTTTTGTAAAAAAATATAAATAAATAATTAATAGGACTAACATTCAAAATGACTTCTATTTATTCCTCCTTTTTTTATACTAATAAATTAAATTGCAGATGTATTAGATATGCGCCGAATTGATGCCGCGCCGAATTATCGCGAATTGTCGTGCGCCAAATTGACGTGATACCGTTAAAAATCCCGATTTGGGTCGATTTTAAAAATGCCCCGATTAAGATTTTACCCAAAATAAAATTATGTAAGCCTGAAGATTTCTCATAAATGGCAAAGGTTTTGACCTCTATTTACCAAATATCGAGGCCTACATAATATTATTTATGCTAAAATCCTAATCGGGTAGCTTTTATAAATCGACTTGAATCGGACTTTTTAACTAAACTAAACTACATTTTTGAATAAGTAATTATTATTAATTACTTATCCATGTTCTTACAAAAATTATTAATTTGTTAGATTATTTATAATATTTTTATTTTAGAGCAAGTTCATTACAAGTCCCGTATAAATTTTATTGTAAAATTTCTGATTTTTTTTCTCGGATAATCTCGGTTTGCTGAATTATATATGCACAACAAATATAATATAAAATAATAATTATTATCCAAGTTTTTTCGCTTTTTTAGGTTTAAAACAATCCAATGCATTAAATTTTTGGATAGTATTCGTATATATTTTGCTCCTCCTATCGGCCACTATTGTATCACCTCCTATCATGTCTAATAGGCTCAAATCGTCATAAAAATCCTATATTTGCATAAATAGTAAAATATTTAGATTAAATTTTGAAAATAAATGGTATTTGTCAAATTTTTTTTATATTACCAACGTTTATAAAATCATTTTCAATAAAAATATAAACAGAATATTCGTAATTTCACTTTTCATAACTCATAAATGATCATAACAGTTTTATCAAAAATATTAAAAAATTAAAATTGTTTTATTTTAAACTATTCCAAAATAATTAATCGTATTCTATATTCTTGTATTCACTTAAATTAATAAAAAGGAGACATATATCCATTTATTATATAACGTTTATTTGCTAAAGGCCGAAGATAAAAATAACTATTTTAGACAATAAAATATTTATTCTACATCTCTAAGTCGCTTTATAAATAAAATTAATAAATCTGCTAGGTTAATGAATGGTGAAGGATATACTGTCCAAAATTAACGGGACTTAAAATGGGGCAGTTCGTAATTATTTTTAGGTCACGGTTTAATTTGTTTATCTAAATTGTTTAAGTTCCAAATTGTTTATATATATGTATTTAGATATTGATACTATGAGGATTCAGAATTTTTTACTTTAAATAATTACTGAAAACTATTTTTAAATTTAAAATCCGATTTGACCGTTAAAATTTCAGCACGTGTAGAGTACCTTCTAGAAGTTTGCATTGGGCGGATTTTTAGCCAACAAGCCCGCCCAGCATGTATTAAATTTTTAACCAACCCGAACGCCCATATTTAAAACTAGCCGGACCATGGTTTTGGAAAAAATATAAACCCGTCCATTGTTGTAAATTTTTTAGTCTGACCTGCCTTTGGTTTTGAAAAAATACCTAAGCTGTCACTCATAAAATTAAAAATTAACGAAAAATAAAATAATTTTTTGTCCAACAGCTGCTAAGCATTTTATTCATTATCATATAGTTTTATGATTGGATAAATGATAAAAAATAAGCATATAAATTTCTAATACAATAAAGGATATAAATAATGAATTTAAAATTATCAAATCAAATATAGTGATAAAATATTTATGACAAATTATAGGTTTTCAATTAATTTGTAATCGTTGCTTTTTAATTATATTTTTTTTTATTCATTTTTAAATAATTTGATAAATTAATAAATTGAAATAAAATATAAAGGGCGCACTTATTTTTGATTAAGCATGTGCAAGGCAAGCGAGGAGATATAAAAAATTATTATGTTAAAGAAATAAAAAATACTAATAAACAGTTTTCGTTCATATTTTGATAATGATTCCTATTTATTTTAAAATAACAAAAACAAAAATTTATCTGCTTGCCCATCCATTTAACATTTTTAACCTTCACGACCGTGTTAAATAGGCTGGGAAATGTGGATAGGTTTTTAGTACAAATTCCCTATGAATTTAAAGCATTTTTGCCTGAAATTACGCGTATTTCTTAATTTATATGAAAAATCTATATATCAAACATTAATAGAAATTAAGAGTAGTTCAATGTTCATGACAAAATTGTCCGAGTACTCATACGCTATACGTGTTGGAATACTTCCGGCAAAATCAGATTTTAGTAATAGTAAAAAAGGGCACTATGAACGAACTTTTTCATATAAAATCAAACTGAATAAGAGAACTTACATAATTTATATAATATAAATATTGATATCAGAATGAATCATTTATCATGTTATGATTCCAAATTACCCAGTCAAGTAGTTAGCCAAAAAAAATTCCAGTCAAACTTTATTATTTTTTAATATTAGAAGGATTATTTTAATTAAATTTTGTAGCTTTCTTAATCATTGCCCTTTTTAAAATACTTAGTATCTTTTTAAAATACTTAGTATCTTTTTAAAATACTTAGTATCTTTTTACAAAAATATAGTATCCTTACGCATTTATATAATATTGAAAAATGGCACCATGTGTTTAAAAAAGACGTTATATGACCAAAAACTATATATCATATATAAAGGATAATATAGGCTTAAACATTTATAACTCAATTAAAAAAAATTTTTTACAAATCAAAAAATTGCCAAAATATACAAATTATTATCAATTAAGCAGATAACCCGTCAAGAATGACCGGTGAATCAAAATTTTCTCCTTTATTTTATGATAGATGAATCTATGCCTATCTCATGAGGTGTGAATCAGAAATTACCATTATTTTGATGAGAGGTTATTCCAAAATTATTCCTTATGTTTATAAAAATGTAGTATACATTTAGTACCTTTAGTAACAAATAATTTAAATATTTATAAATACTATATAAGTATAAAAAATTGTATTTATGCGCACAATAAAAAATCTTTTTGACTAAAATTTTATACATTTATATTTGCAATATATGTCCTAAAAAAATATAATCTGCTAGATGTGGGGCATACCTTATTTTCAATTTATTATTGCCCACTAAATCCTCAACTTTCCAGAAAGAAATACCTTGATCTTTCAGGATTCGCCATTTTAATTTATAGGAGTATTCATACCATAATCGAATCAAAAAAATAACAAAATATTAGAGACAAATATATGATATAAATTATTTTGTAAATAATCTTTTATTTTAAAAATTTTTGACTTTAAAAAATTTTTTTGTCTAACTATTCGACTCTGTGTAGTATATTTAAATTTTAATTTTAGTCGTTTAAGGATGAAGATTCGATTTGGTTCAAATTTATTAAGCTTAAACTAAAATTCACCCGTAGCTATAAAGATCTATTTTGATAAAAAAAAAGAAGCTTAATTTAATTTGGATTATAGAATATAATCAAATTAATATATTATTAATATAATACTTTAGTTTTTTCTGAGAGAATTTCTTGCTTCCTGGCGGCAACTTTGCGAGCAGAAGTAGCTTTCTTGAATTTTCGTTTCTTGATTCTTATATCAATTTTCCTTGGTTTTAAACTCTGCAAAAAAATAAATAAAATTTTAAATCTTATATTAGGAATTCCAACATCAAATCAAGTTACGGCGCTTTTATAATTCCGCCCTCTACTAAGTGATAAACGTTACTATGATTTAAATTTAACTCGAAAGAAAACTTGAAATGTAAATAAACAGAGAAATAAAACAAATTACAAATTAGGTAAAATCGCTATCTCTTTAGTTGCGTTTTTCCAATGATTGAATATATTTTAAAATATTTTTTTATTTTACATCTCCTGAATTTAGTTTCGGAAATTGGCTTGCTCAAAGCCTGAGCCATGTGAAAGGATTGAATTTTATATTCGGTTTATTCAAAGGAACCACTGGGCTTTTTTATATGAAATATGATTTTTTAAATTGTATTAGCCATTCCTTTCAACCAAGTCAAGTGAACGTAACAATACGCTCAAGTTTATTCAAATATATTTACAAATAAATAAAAAACCTTAATAAAATATTACAAGTTCGATTCACGGTGTATTTTTTTTAAATATTATGTTTTGTTAATTTAATAATCGATATTATATAAAATTATTGAAAATAACATGTAAGCTATGTATAAAATAACATATATAGAAATAAAATATAAAAATATTTTTTAAAAAATAACATTAAATATATTTAAAGAAATTTAGAAATAGTCATCCTCCTCTGGTGACGGCCATGTATATTTAAAAAATTTTAAAAAGTAACATAAAATTTAAAAGCTGATTTTTTGTTTGATCAAATAAGCCCTAGATTGTTGTTTTAGGCTCTTTTTGCTAATTTGCTATATTAAGGATTTCCTCTTTCCCAAATGAGAAACTGATATTAAGATGGGTATAAATATATTGTTGTCGGCTAGATAGAATATTTTTTGGATCGTAATTTAGATGGGGCGAAAATGTCTATATATGTAAAGTCCCAGTATAAGTGTTTCCCCATATTCCAGGGGGTTAATGTATGCTCAGGCTAAGAGTTATTAATAATGGAAGTATCTCGTGGTTCGAGGTGTGAAGGATCATCAGATTTGAATAATGAATTTTGGATTAATTCTTTTATGCCTTACATATTTGTATCTGTTTACGAGACAAGGGAGTGGATGTTAGCCTTAGAAACAATCATTATTCCACATTTTTTACAGTTGTAAGGTAGATATATGTCTAAGCCTAGCCTGAAAGCCAAAGCATATCTAAATTCTATATTTGTCAAAAGATATTTATTTTACATACTTGGATAAGCTTAATTATTCGTGGCGATTTATCCTTTACCAATATACGAAAAATAGTACACTGCTGTGTCGTTGCTCGAAGGTAGAACGGAGGGTGACATCGCAGCAACATCCCAATCATTTTGTAAATTAAAGAGTGGAAAAATTGCTCCAAAGTAGACCAGTTTGACAAAGCATTGTTTAACATGAAGTCCTCAAATGGTTTAAATAATTTATGAATGAGATTTTAGATTAGTAATTATGAGGAAATAAAAGCAGCTATTGAAAGGGGTAATGTTGATAGCCAAGTAGGCCTGATTTTGATGGAAGGGTTGTTTGTAGTCAGCTATTTTGGTCGAATTTAAGATTGACTATATTCGCAAGTATCGATTACAATTTTTCTTCATATTTTTGAAGTATAGGAGGAAACAAATATTTGTACTTCGGTAATATAAATTTTTTTAATTAAATGTAATGCCTGATGGGATGGTTAATGCTTGAAAATATTTTCTTTTGAATATAAATTAATTAGATTATAAAAATGTTAAGATGCCTGTGAACCCAGAACAAAAATTTTATCTTTAATCACACGAGTAATGAACAATAAATGGGGAAGAAAAATTTGTAGTTGAGTATAATTTACATTTTTTATAACAAGATAAATGTCATCCTGGATCACTTCTCATAGCAGTAATGCAATTTCCGTGAAAACTTTAGAGTCCCCTGAAATTTTTTATAGATATGATTTTTTTTGCTAATTTTAGATAGAATTTTATTTTTTGTTAATTTTAGATATTTTTTTATTCATAACCGATTGTAAAATATAATACCCTACTATATATTCGGCAGAGTTGTTAAAATAGCGAGCTACTTGTAGCGCGCTACCTTTTTTTGTAATTATTTAATTTTTAGCGTGCTCCTTTTTTTGAAAGTAAATGAATGTAACTATAAACATGAAAATATAAATATAATATCAAAATTAATTATAATTTTTATGATTTATTTTTAATTTAAAAATTGAAATATATTTTAAATTTGTAATTTATATTTTAAATTTGTAAAATCACGTGTAAATAATTTAAAATGTCATCGCCTATGGATATCCAAATCGTTGAGTGAGTCAGACGATGATATTAATGAAATGGCGAGATAGTATATTTATGTCTTCTCATGTCAAATTTTATCGGGAAAAATATTGTCTGCGAAAACAATAAGATTAGTATTTAATATAAGAAACTATTAATGATTAAATGCACTGATACACCATGCGAATATTCAAAGAATAACTATTTAAATTTTTTATAATCATTTATTAATTTTATTTCTAGATTTACCATCTAATGATTTGTTACAATTATTTAATCAGTATGGATACATATAATCATTTTAAAACCTATAAATAGTGATCACCATCAAAAATTCACTAATCTATTATAACAAATTCTCTAGAAAGATAAGCACACTATTTATTAATTATATATTTTCTTATTTCTCTATTCTTACCAATAATCTATGTAAATTAGTGTCAATCAGTGGATCCTGGCTTATCCACAAGAGGTACCGTCAGTGCTCTTAAATTAAACGGGCCCTTCAATTAGTGGATCCTAGATTATCCACAAGAGGTACCGTCAGTCCTTAAATTAAACGAGTCCTGACAGTAGGGTAAATCACTGACAAAGAGTGGATGAAAATTCACTGCATTGGAGACGCTCTCTATAGGGTAGTGGAGTGCCCACTTAAATGTAGGATGTCTCCCCAGTGTATGCCACGATACAATATTAATGAAATGGAAGATACCAGGGAAGAAAATGTTCTTAATAGCAATAATACAAATTTCCCATTTCCTAAATTTGAAAAAAATTTTTAAATTAATATAAAAACCAAAACTGGCTTTAAATTTATTTTGTTTAAAAATGTAAAAAAAATATTTCCTCAAATCAATACAGTAACTATAACCTCAACTAACACCTAAAGGTAAATGATCATTTTTAAATTCTAATAGTATTTATTTTATAAGAATGTTCATGCCAATAGTTATAAGAAGATAGAAAAACATCTCAATAATTTTGGTATAGGCGACTCTACATCCAAAAAGACTAATTCAATTCAAACCAAATTGATTAATAATGCAAAGGCCAATATTTCTCAGAAACTAGCTGATTGTTGATTTTATAATTGATACAGTTCGACCAATGTCCTTGGTTGATAATCCATCATTTACCATAATGATTAAAACTCAATCCCCTGGTACAACAATTTTATGTAGCCAGACACTAATGAATAAGATAGCAGATAACTCTAAAGTTATGAAAGATGCTCTAATAGTAGAGTTGTCAGAAATATCATATATATGTACCACTGCAGATAGGACACATAATAAAAGGTAACTTATTTATATTTATAAATTGATCTGATTAAATGTTTTTAGAGCGTATATGGGAATAACAGGCCATTGGCTAGGACTTTAAAAATAAGATCTGTAGCATGAGCTCTCAAAAAGATAATGGGATGCCAGACATACAATAAGTTGAATGGTCTCATACCAAACAAAGATGGCCTAGTTACAACCACAAAAGTAATTTCCACTGATAGTTTTTTGAAATAAAAGATAATATAATAGAAAATTTTATCAACGCGTTTTTTAAATCTAAAAATACTCAAATGAGTATTTTGAGTATTAATCTTTCTTATATTAAAAATATGTATATAAAATTAAATACTGCCTTGTCCTCAAGTGCTAGTGTTGAGAGATTATCTAGTAAGGCGAAGCTTATACTTTCTGATCGTCGCTCTAGACTTGGGGATGATAATATTGAAATGATTTTATTAAAATGCAACAAAATAAATAAAAAATGAATATTACCATAAATACTTATTTTATTACATAAATTTTTTTATAATCAAAATTAACTATATTTAAATATTTATAAATGTTGATTTTTATGTATATTTACTATACAATTACAAAAAATAAAACAAATTTATTTCTAAATTTTTTTTATAAAAAATAGCTTAAAAAGTAGCCAAAACTATTTTAAAGAATAGTAACTAATAACGCGCTACTTTTTTTTGATAGGTAGCGATAGCGTTGACAAATAGTGATAGCGGTAGCGCGCTACTTTTAAAAGTAGTGTTTCATTTAAAATTTCACCAAAAATGGATTTAAATCAAAAAAATCATTTTTGAAGTTAAAAAAATGATGTCATATTTCACCAATATTGCTATTTAAAAATATGTAAATTAGTGTTATTAAACGGCCCGATTTGAGTTGATTTTTAAAAACGGCTTACTCAATATTTTATATATAAAAATATTTTGTAAGTCTCGAGATTTCGTTAATAAAATTTTCGGGCTTGCGTAATACTTTTCTGGATAAAATATTAAGTTCGCCGTTTTTAAAAATCAAATCGAGTTCAACAACAATAGTCAATATGCGATAATAAATTTTTTTATTTTCTTTTATAAAAAATCTACAACCTAAAATAGTTGAAGGGTTAAATATCTATTATTTTAAAAATCTCTATTAAGATATTTTAGTTTTCAACTTTAGCAAGTTTAATAGCCTACTTCGTCTCAGGAATTAAAGAGTTGATAAATAGGTAACATTTGGAATTTAATTTAGTGTTCAGCTATGAGCAAAACAAATTTTAAAAAAGGAAGTTGGTCAGAACGTGAAGGAATCGGATTGAAAACGCCATTTTCAAATTGACTTTGACATCAAATAGCAAAAAATTAGGAATCATAAAATTTTTGTTAAGAATTTCTTTATTAGTTCCTTATTTTAGAAAAGATTTTGTAAAAAAAATTTAATATAGAATTGATGGTAATTTAATTTTTAATAAAATTATAGTCACAGACCTTCATGGGTCAGGCCGGCTCACTAACATCATATTTTCCAGCGGGCCTGAGTTTTTGAAAAATTATTTTAACGTAAATTTTTTCATTAAAATTTAGCTTTAAAAACAATTGCTAATTTAAAAAAATATTGCAATTTTTTTCTTCTAATAATATTAAATTTTAGTATCGCAAACAAAATAATTGCATACACTAAAATATTGTTTATTTTCTACCATAAATTACTTTTTAAATATAGGCTTGGGCAAAATTTTTGAAACTTATTATGGGCACGGGCCAGGCTTCAGAAATTTTTAAATATTAAATATGGGCCAGGCCTATAAAATTTTGACTGTGGCCTGGGTCGGGCCTGAGCAAGATTTAGGCCCACAAAGGTCTCCTATTAATAGCTCGCATATTAATATTGCCCTTGTAATCTTATGTTTAGTAACTTTGGCCCGCATCAGGCCTTTACATAAATGTCATTTACCTCTATTTTTAAGTGTAAAATTAGGTTTAAATATAGTTTTCATTGTTTTTTATATAAATTAAAGGTTAATAAAAAGTGTTTAGCCATTATGTGCTTTATGTATTAATATGATATAAAGATCAAAAAATATATACCAATATTTTGTTTCTTTGTTCCAATTTTTCTTGAAGAGTGATCACATTTACTTTATTAATGTTACCAGCGTCTAAGGAGATTAATTCTGGTTGAATCTTTTATTTATTTTATTATTAAAAATATCAATATTTAATTTTTTTATCAATATAATGGGAATACATTGTACACATATAATATACATTATAACTCGCCCATTTATAGCGTTTACTCTCAACTAATATTATTGATAACGTTTCCAAAATCTTCATAAATACTAGTTACCAGGTTTCAACAAGAAAAATAAAAAGATCAATCAATTTAAGAACAAATTTAATGGAATTTAATTAGAATTGGTAGTTAGTAACTGGATAAAACCCCAAATTTTTTCGTTTTTGAAATTTAAAATATTTTATTTTTATAGACCTAATTTAATTATTTATACTTATATTAAAATCTAATTTATATATTAAAATACTTAAAAATAAAGTTGTGCGTTTTAATGAAAAAATAAATAAATTAATAACCATTGTTGCATTACCTTTCCTAGCAAAGCCTTAACTTCCGCTTCTTTCCTTTGAGATTTGGTTTGATAAGGATTCGCTTCGAACGAATCAAAATTTGCTTCTCCCGATCCTATCCACAATGTGATGAGTATATAAAAAGATAATCGATAAAATTTTATTTAAAAAATATTAAAATAAATTTGCTAATCAATAATCATTTAACATATTTATAGTTCTTAAACGATTTTTAGTCGAAATTGAGTTGGAATCATAATCTATCCTTAAAGTCATCCCCCCATTTATATTTTTAAAAATAATTGTTACAAAAGGGATGTTTTGTTAAATCGTTTTCTCGTAAAAAAATAGGAATCGAGCGATGAATTAGACAAAATAAATAATAAATTAACATAATATTTTTTTTGTTGGGGTTTAAATGATTGAAATAACCTGGAACTATGATACTGGTGAATCCCGTTGAATGTCCAATTCCCAGGACATCTTCGAAAGGACAGAATTGGAGATCAGTTATGGTGCTTCGACTATTAACGTCATATAGCATGTACGGAGATGTACCCTCTTCTTGGATACGGCTGCAAGAGTCCTTATAAATCTAGTTGTAAATTATTTTATTTAAGATAGAAAGAAGGTTTTAAAAATATGAAATTTTGAGAACACTCATTTTATATAAAAAGAATATATATGTCGTAATGGGATATGGAATTCCTCAATTTTAAGCCATTTACTTGAGGGTTACTTTTACATTTTTAAAATCTGATTTTAATGGAAATGTATTCCAGCATGTTAAATTTCAGACAATTTTCGCCATGAAGGATTGTATATATTTTTTTCAAATTATCCAATTAAAAAATTCATGGCAAAATTGTCTGAAATTTGGTTTGGGTACTCTACGCATGCTGATATACATTTCCGGTCAAACTAGATTTTTCAAAATAAAAAATCAATCTTAATAAATTATTTAAACTCTAGAGATTTCGAATCCCCATCCATATCCACAATATATATCTTTCTTTCTTTTTTACATATCCAAATACGATATATATATATATATTATATTTCTCTAATATTATGCAAATTTATTGGGATATGCATGTAAAATAAATGTTAACAAATATTTTTAAAGTGATTAACCAAAATTTTAGAATGATTTATATCCTATCATGGATGGTATCATTTATTGCAAATTATACAATTTACATATATATTATGTTACCAGTTAAAATATGTAAAAAAAAATTCAATACTTCGATTCTGGAACCTATTGAAAGAGCTAAATGTTGATTTTGACTAAAAGCCAAGCGATTTGCGCAACCGGTTAATCTGAAGGCATCTAATATTTTGTAATTTCTCAAATCCCATAGATGCAGATTCTTATCGATGTCACATGTAGCCATGTACCTTTTTAATCGAAAAATCAATTCACAAAAATTAAATTAATAAAAAGAAATCGTGCATTACTTAATTTTTTTTATTCCTACCCCCCCCCCCCCACTTCATATAATAGGCAATTTCTAGAAAGTAAAGTTAGATACCAACCTAATTTATAGAGCGATTCCTGATTAAAATATTTGGCATTAAGGTGGTATTGATTTGTAGCAATCCTGATTTTGAATATTATAAAATAGGCCGATCTTTAATGAGTCTTTAGATGAAGCAACTCTTAATATAAAACCTATCCCCTCAGCCGTCTATAGAGTGAAATAAAATATTTGAAATAATGACTTTTTTTTTTAGTTGATTGCTGGAAATAAATTTCCCAGAAAAAAAGAAGGTAGATAATCCTTGAACAAAATTTCTACATAAAATCAGGACAAATTTTTTTTTAATTTTAAAATAGGGTTATAAAAATGTAGTCCAAATTTGAAATCAATTTTTTTTAATTACAAACACTTTTACTGTACAAATAGAAAAGTATGTTAAAAAATAATCGAATTTGTTGAAACGAAAATAGCAGATATTTACATGGGCTTTAAAGGAGAACTTTTTTGGTTAATCCAAAGCTAAAAAATAAACCAAGAATAAAAATTTTTAAAAAAGCATATACCAATTTTCATAAGTAACAAAAAGAAAAATTACAAATTAAAATAAAAGTGTAAAACTTTTTAATTTCCAATCCTGATAAAAAGTTAAGATTAAAAAAAAATAGTAATGGAATTCTTCCTAAATAATTTTAAGTGTTTTTTTAAAACACATATTGACTTAAAAAGTTATGTGCTATACCAGGGTTGGCAAGTCGGTCAATTGACTGGTCAAATTCGGTCAATTGACAGAAGGAGTATTTGACCTGGTCAAATACGGTCAAATACTCTAAAATGTTATTGATGAATAATAACTATATTTATTTAATGAATTAATATATATTTAAAGTATATGTCAATCTAATTTATTTAAAAATTATTTTAAAATATATTTGTATCATTAAGGCATCGATTTAATTATAATTTTATAAATAAATACAAAATTTTCATATTAAAATATTAAGAATTTTTCTCATTATTAATTTGATTGGATCTAAATATATAAATAAATATAATAATTTTACTTAAGCAGGTTTGAGAAAATTACTAATTTCCAATTTATATTACATTATATACAATTATCCAAACAAAAGATGGGCATCATCAATAAAATGTAATGAGCAAATACAAATATGCAAGGAAGCTCTGAAAGCAGCTGTGGAAGAAGTTGGATATTTGTCCAATAATATATTAAATGATATTTTGGACAAAAAATTTAAAATTTTAAACTATTCATAAAAACATTTAGCTATCTTATTGACCTTAGTTCATGTAAAAAACGAGATGCTTAATTTAGAAAGCACATAATACAATCATGTCCATGATTTTATAACTTACCAACCTAAAGAAAAAAATATTTAAGATAAGTTTGAAAAAGAAAACAATACAAATACATGTGCTCACACTGCACTGCTGATTATTGATCCCCAATATAAGGGGAGCATCTTACTAGAGTTTGATGAAGCATATGACATAACATAAAAATTAGTCGTTTCATAAAGAGATAATCATCAAAATATTTTAAGTGATATCATAAATTTCAGAAGTAAACGCGGCGTATTTAATAGCCAAAATACGTGGAAAGCAGTAACTTTCATAAAAAACAATCAGATTTCGGGCTCAAGTTGTTGGAATGGGCTTTGTTCACATTGAATATTAAGAGAAGTGTCTAAGAAATCCGATTGAAGATCTCGACAACCAGAAAATTGGTAGGAGTATATCATAACCTAAGATTGATTAAAAAATGTTAAAGAAAATGATAAGATTGATTATAAATTAGAACAAGGTTCTGCCATGGAGAGCGAAGCATTAATTATAGAATTTAGAAAATAATTTAATATACATACATTTTTTACAATTATATATAAAATAGAATTAATATTGCAATAAAAAATATTTATTTGAATTTGATCATATTTTACAGTATTTGACCATATTTTACGGGTCAAATAACGGTCAATTGACCGAATCTTATATGACCGGTCAAATGCACAACCATGTGCTATACTACAACCCTGTGCTATACTAACCATAATATATTTATAGCCTATTACTTTACTTTAACTAAAGAAAAACGATTTTATCAATATATTTCCGACCCTTGCAATTAATATAGATTCTAAACCAATATCAGGCTTTTATAGTTCGTTATCTTCCTACCAAAGTATTTTTTTAAATTTGATTATCTACTTAAAAATAAATAATATTTTAAATATTTTTTTTAAAAATAGGATAGGGGTATTTATATCCGGGGTCTTATTGGAGACATTTCTACCTGATTACCATCCTAACTAGCAATAAATTACGAATTTAATTGCCCAACAATTATAATGTTAACATTTAAATGCCATAAAGAGATGAAATTGAAAAAAATTAATTTTATTTACATTCCCTTGGAGTCTATGGCGACACTTTTAATCGGGCACCTATGACACAAAATTTTGGCCAAGGGTTTGGCACAGGTTTCTGAGTTAGAAGATGCGCAATTAGGCGACCACATTGAAACACATCCATTGGAGCTACCGACACAAATTATGGCGTTCTGAGGATTTTGACAAACAACGTTCAAGCGACCTAAACCTGTGTATAAATGAGACACTATTTTGCCTAGGGATATGTCGAGCCAACTTAAAAAACCTTTCGAATTCTGGTGTTCATTAAAATAAACATATATTAGCGCCAATTTTTCTTAGAAAATATTTTTTCAACTTTAGATATCTAATGAGCATGTTTTTTTTAAAATGTGAATAACAAAATAAATTAAATGAATAATAAAATAGAAAACTGTGGCATGCTTACCCAGGCTACGAGCATAAACACACCAAATTATTCAAAAAAAAATTCAATGATATCAAATTGATGAACGTAAGCGCTATATAAAACATTCTATCCCAAAAGGGACCTATGAAATACTTTTGTAAATGTAAAAATGTTGATAAAAAGCGTTATAAAAATTATTTAATCCCAAAAGTGACCTATATAAATATTTATGTAAATAAATTCATGTAAGTATCAAATGTTGAACATAGGCGTTATATAATAATACTCTATCCAAAAATGGACCTATGAAACACTTGTGTTAGAGGAAAAATGTTGATAGAAAAAACGTTACAAAAATTGATAAGAACCTTTATCAATAAAGGTTAAAGGAGAAAAGCAATTGAAGAAAAGGCTAATTTCATACAATCCTAAAAAATTATATTCTTAAATTAAACTATATTGTTGATATAAAAGTAAATTTTAGTAAATTTGTAGATTTAAGACCAAATATTTATTTTAAAATGTATGAAAACGACATACCACTTATTGACTGTCGGCTATTATACATTCAGATCAACATAATTCAAAAAAGGACCTCTCTACTCAATGTAATTATTCATAAAAAGAAAAATAATATGGATAATCCGTTAAAATCCTGGAAGACTGACAAAATATATATGTTAGTTTTCTTTTGGGGTGAAATGTTTTTTATAACGCTTTCGATCAACATTTAGGCATTTACACAAGTATTTCTGTCCCTTTTGGATTAGAATATTTATATAGCGCTTATTTTCAGCAATTTGATATTTACATGAATTTTTTTTTGATACATTTTGGATATTTGATATATTAGCGTGTATAATAAACATATACATGCATCTGTGAAATTATATATTATATATATTGTGTGCATGGTCGTGACCTGTTAAAGGTGGGTATGTTAGTTTTATATTTAATTATTTTTATATCTGGATTTGTGAAAATAAAAATACATTAATTTATAAGTTTGTTTTTATTAAATATAAGTGAAATACTTTGATTAAAAGGATCACCCTTTATTATATTGACATTTTTAGTAATTATTTATATAAAAATAATAATAAAATATAAAACCGTGACACAAAAGTTAGGGTGCATTCACAGTAGAGAGCGACAGCGACACGACAAAATACAAATATATGTAAAATGACTATTCATAGTGAGCTTTTGCGACGCGACACGACATTCCCGCCACATTTGTCGCATTAAACGACAGAGCAGCTGATGTGTCGTAAGCGACATAGCATTAATTGTAGTTGCGACAAGCATATTTTTATTTTTTAAAAAACGAGGTATCTATACAACTTTAAAATTATTCCTGTTATATCCTTATATGAAAAGGAGAAAAAATAATCTGAATGTTGGAAAAGAGAGGAAGGAGAGTTCTCAGTACTATTCCCAAAACTTATAAACAATCCTGAACAGTTTTACAATTATATGAGATTAACCAAAGTATATATTTCATTGTATAATCTAAATTGAAATTTTGTATTTAGAAAACCTTTTATTATATTTTAACTCATATTAAATCAAAACTAATTTTATTAAAAATTTAACATCAGTAGAAGAAAACTTGATGATCACACTAAGTTTAATATTAATTTTATTTTATATAATCAAAATTGCTTAGATATTTGGGAACAGGATGTAACTATCCAAGTTTAGCCTATTCATATAAAATGGAAATATCGACAATTCAAAAAATAATTATAACAACATGTACAGTACATTGAGATTAAAAATCTCTGCAAGCATATATTACAATTATAAACAATATTTCTCCATGATATTACAAGCATTAGTGGATGGTAGAGGTAAATTTATAGTAATTGCTATAGGCAGTTATGGCAGTGAATCAGATGGAGATGTATACTCAAATTCTTTGTTATCAAAAATGATTGAGAGTGGAGACTTAGATATTCCACTATTTAAAAACTTACCAAATAGAAATAAATTATTATGGCCATTATAACCTTATAATTTAGTAAATTTTAAAAATATTACTCTACTTTTATATTGATTTGTAATTACTTAATAAAAAGAAAGTTTATTTATTATATGTGTCTTAAATATGATTAAAATAGTATAAAAGCCCTCCAATGAAATAATAACAATGTAATATAATATTTATTATTATTCTTGATCACTGTCAAAATTGAAGAGTATATCAAAAATAATTTCAATAAGCTTTTTCTTTCCCCTTTCTCGTCTTTTTGCAAGGGTTTGCCCATGCATGACATTGATCCAAGAATTTGTAGATAATCTTCCTTTCGTTTTTTCTATTTCAAGTATTTGCTCAAATAGATCTAGTTTAAAATAATAAAAATATTCTACAAATGCAAATTACCTTGATCAATATCCCTCTTTTTAATTAATTTTTTGCAAGATAAATTTGTTCCTATACTAGTTGATGATGATGCTAATTATATATAATATTATTTTTATAAAATATGATAACAATCATTCCTTAAAATTGTAGCATCACTACTTGTCTCTATGCAGATAATTTCAATGGCTATGTATTAATAAAATCTTAACAAATATTAATATATTTACCATCTTCATAATGATAATTTTCATTACCACTCATTTGCTCATACATTGCTCTAGCAATATTTGGTTCATCAATTTTAGATATAACAGGATTTGTTTTTTTCAAATTGGTATACTGAATCCCTGGCTATATTTTTTATATTCCCTCATAAAGCAATCTCTTAGATTTTTCCATGCTGATTTGGCCATCTCTACTGCAAAAGAAAAATATTTCAAATTAATATACTCTTTAATTATCTGTCTCAATATTGTTTTCAGCTGATGGTATCTGATGAAGTTGATCAAATCTTTATTGATTTTCTATAAAAAATTATTAACATAATATTTATTTATATTCTAATATATATATATAACATTTAATATTTTAATAGCATTTCAAAAATTTACTTGCAAATTTTCTTTTTCGGCCATATTGTAGTTATGTCGCTTTGAAAAAAAAAATATTTTGTAAGTTGATTTCAATGTTTAATGCGACAAATGTGGCGGAATGTCGTGTCGCGTCACAAAAGCTCACTATGAATAGTCATTGGTATTACATATATTTGTATTTTGTCGTGTCGCTGTCGCTCTCTACTGTGAAGTGTTGTTAAACTACCTAACTTTAGTCAACTATAAAACAGCGTAGCCATGTTTTTATAAAAAAATATTCGAATCAATCTTCAAGTTGAGACTAAACTTAGAAGTTTAATTCAATTTTTTAGGCTTAAAAGCTTGACTGAGCCACAGTAGAGATGGTAAAAGTTAGGTAATTTAACAACACTAACTGTGAATGCACCTTTACAAAACATTTTGTTTTTTTTTCAAAGCGACATAACTACAATATGGCCGAAAAAGAAAATTTGCAAGTAAATTTTTGAAATGCTATTAAAATAATAAATGTTATATATATATTAGAATATAAATAAATATTATGTTAATAATTTTTTATTGAAAATCAATAAAGAAGATTTAATCAACTTCATCAGATACCATCAGCTGAAAACAATATTGAGACAGATAATTAAAGAGTATATTAATTTAAAATATTTTTCTTTTGCAGTAGAGATGGCCAAATCAGCATGGAAAAATCTAAGAGATTGCTTTATGAGGGAATATAAAAAATAGAGCCAGGGATTCAGTATACCAATTTGAAAAAATCAAATCTTGTTATATCTAAAATTGCTTAATCAAATATTGTTAGAGCAATGTATGAGCAAATGAGTGGTAATGAAAATTATTAATATGAAGATGGTAAATATATAAATTTTTGTTAAGATTTTATTAATACATAGCCATTGAAATCCCCTGCATAGAGACAAGTAGTGAAGCTACAATTTTAAGGAATGATTGTAATCATATTTTATATAAATAATATATATATTTAGCATCATCATCAACTAGTAAATGACCAAATTTATCTTGCAAAAAATTAATTAAAAAGAGGGATATTGATCAAGGTAATTTGCATTTGTAAATATTTTTATTATTTTAAACTAGATCTATTTGAGCAAATACTTGAAATAGAAAAAATTAAAGGAAGATTATCTACAAATTCTTGGATCAATGCCATGCATGAGCAAACCCTTGCAAAAAGACGAGAAGGGGGAAAGAAAAAGCTTATTAAAATTATTTTTGATATACTCTTTAATTTTGACAGTGATCAAGAATAATGAAAAATATTATTGTTATAATGGTATTTTTGTTGTTTATTTTTTCGTGAAATTATTTTATATTTTTGTTGGCGCGGATTAATATTATAACATATGCGGAATTATTTGTTTTGAAAAAAGAGAAGACTCATGGTGAGTCGAGGATATATTTTTTTGTTGGAAAATATAATTTGTAATTTAGATATATTTTAATTTTTGGAATAATTTTTAATTTTTTTTGAAATAGTAATTTTAATTTTTTTATAATTTTGTTAAAAATATAATTTTTGTATAAATAGACTAATTAAAGTTTCGGTGTCAATTTGTTTAAAGAAAAATAAAAGTAAAATAAATTAATTCCTGAAAAGGACAGTTCAATTCGTTAGAAAGGTCATTAAGATACGGCAGCGTCAAATTGGTGCCGTGACCAAAAAAATAAAAGGTAAGTTTTATTTTTATTTTTTTTTAGGTATAAAAAAATATAAAAAGGATAAACTTAACATCTGTTAAGGGCACAGTGGGTTAACTGTGGTACTGAATTTATATTTTAAAGTCACAGGGGTTCTGTGGAATATTTTTTTTTGAGAAAAATTCGGTAGAGTATCGTGGTTGTTGTGTGAAATATTTTCTTTGAGAAAAATTCGGTAGAGTACCGTGGTTGTTGTTAAAGTCACAGGGGTTCTGTAGAATATTTTTTTTTTGAAAAAAATTCGGTAAAGTACCGGGATTTTTAACAGGGATAGGAAAAATTGGAATTTAGGTTACAGTTGAGTATAAAAGTGTTTAAAGAGTCTGATGTATTGTTGTGTTATTTCGGTATTAATTTTATTAATTGTATCATATTGTTTAACTCTTCAGGTAGTTAAGATTTTTTTAGTTATTAACTTTTTGTAGGTAATATTTTGAGATATATTTTATTTTGTTAAGATAGTTAATATAAATTAATTAATTTAGAAATATTTTTAAGTTAATTTAGATATATTTTGTTTCAATAATTTTATTTAAAATTCTTTTTGTCATTAGGATACGTGGACAGACGTTGTTGATTGAGGGACATAATGGGGAAGAAGATAGATATGATAGAGTAACGTGGTTGTCTATGCAGGAGATGTTGCATGGATGGGCAAGTAGTGAAGATTTGAAGATGGGAGAGGTGAGGATAGAAGAAGGGACATGTATCGAGATCGTGGAGAGTCATCAAGGTTGTTGGAATAGAGGAATATAAATATGGTTTGTTTTAAATGCGGGGGTAGAGGGCATATGGCGGTGAATTGTAGAGAAGGACCGGATGTATTAAGAGTAAACTCGCCCCGGCCGATGATGTCGACAAGGCCGATGCCGCCGCCACGGCCGGTGCCACCGAAGAGATCGGGGACATTCGAATTGCCCTCAACGTCACAGCAGAGGCAACCGGTGGTGTGTGAGGCACCCGAAAGGCAGGCAGTGGAGGAATTTCTGGAGGTCGGGGTGAGCATGGGGGAGTTATACGAGTTATTTGGAGACTACAGACCTTTACCCCACCTCTAATAAGGAACTTTGGAGTGGGGAAGGGTGGAGGTGTTATAATGGTATTTTTGTTGTTTATTTTTTCATGAAATTATTTTATATTATTGTTGGCGCGGATTAATATTATAACATACGCGGAATTATTTGTTTTAAAAAAAGGGAAGAATCATGGTGAGTCGAGGATATATTTTTTTGTTGGAAAATATAATTTGTAATTTAGATATATTTTAATTTTTGGAATAATTTTTAATTTTTTTTGAAATAGTAATTTTAATTTTTTTATAATTTTGTTAAAAATATAATTTTTGTTTAAGAAAAAAATAAATAGACTAATTAAAGTTTCGGTGTCAATTTGTTTAAAAGAAAAATAAAAGTAAAATAAATTAATTCCTGAAAAGGACAGTTCAATTCGTTAGGAAGGTCATTAAGATACGGCAGCGTCAAATTGGTGCCGTGACCAAAAAAATAAAAGGTAAGTTTTATTTTTATTTTTTTTTAGGTATAAAAAAATATAAAAAGGAAAAACTTAACATTTGTTAAGGGCACAGTGGGTTAACTGTGGTACTGAATTTATATTGATAGTTACATCCTGTTCCCAAATATCTAAGCAATTTTGATTATATAAAATAAAACAACTTAGTGCGATCATCGAGTCTACTGATGTTGGATTTTTAATAAAATTATTTTTGATTTAATATGAGTTAAAATATAATAAAAGGTTTTCTAAATACAAAATTTTAATTTAGATTATACAATGAAATATATACTTTGGTTAATCTCATATAATTGTAAAACTTTTCAGGATTGTTTATAAGTTTTGGGAATAGTATTGAGAACTCTCCTTCCTCTCTTTTCTAACATTCAGATTATTTTTTCTCCTTTTCATATAAGGATATAACAGGAATAATTTTAAAGTTGTATAGATACCTTGTTTTCTAAAAAATAAAAATATGCTTGTCGCAACTACAATGAATGCTATGTCGCTTACGACACATCAGCTGCTCTGTCGTTTAATGTCGTGTCGTATTTGTAGTGTCGCTGTCACCCTCTACTGTGAATGCACCCTTAATATCAAAATGTCGGAAATATATAAACAATTCCGGCATATTCGAATTCTTAAAAATTAAAACGCGCTAAAAAGTATATGATTTAAAGTTGAAAAAATAACACATTATCGGTATACTATATTATTATAATTAAGTGATCATAAAAAAGGTTGTTTATTCGACGTTTAAATTTTCGATTTCACTTTAGCTTATATATAGAGGATTTTATATTTAAAAGCCATTTAATATAAAAGTATTATTCATAAATAAATTATTTAACCGCAGCAGCCAGTAAAAAATGATATGGTAAAAATTCCATTTGCAAAACATCGTATAATTTTTTAAGGCAATGCAATTCGGTGCCAGTGTTGTCATAAATATGAGCCCATCTCTTTTGACCAACGGCCAACATATTTTCGGTGTGCAGCCATCTTAAATTTATATTTAAATAATAAATCGTAAATTTGATTAGGTTAAAGATCAAAAATAAAATACATCTAATGTGTAGTAGGATTATTCAAAAATAATTCGAATAATTACGAATACGAATAATAAATTATTTGTTTTATCTGAATACGAATAATCATTTATTCGAATAAAACGAATTATTCGTATTATTTAATAAATTGTTTAATAAATCTAACATTTGTCATTTCTATTTCCTGCCAATCTGACAGGTGATGTGTTTGTGTTTATAAAGATTCTAGCACAAATTTAAAAATTTCTGAAGTGAAAATTTAAATTTTTATTTGCCACATTTTTTGAATCTCACGAAAAGTTTATTTTTTGAATCTCATAATAAATTATCTTAAAAATTAAACAATAAGAGGTATATAAAAATATATTACATCTTTAACAATAATTATTGTTAGCTAACCTAATTATGTTAGAGGAGAATGCTTCTGATGAAATTATGCTTGATGTTGAAGATGAGAAAATTTCCTCACAAAAGAGAGCAATCATATGGGATCAATATAAAATCCTTAAAGAAGGTGAAAAGGCTTCTTGCAATCATTGCAAGAGTATTATAAAATGTAAAGGCAAAACAACCTCTCCTCTTATTAATCATTATAATAGGTTTCATTCACACCTTAGTAAAAAAAATAATAAAATTGACATTTTTTTAGAGTCTACACCAAATTCTTCAAAAAAAAATTAATTTTAACAATAATTTATTAAAATTATTGATAAATAATAATATACCTTTTAAAATTATTAATTCAAATGATTTTAAAAATTTTATAAGTGATCTTGATTGTTCTGTAAAATCATTATGCTACAATACTTTAAAATGGAAAGTGTATAATATATTTGCAGATAAAGAACAGTTGGTAAAGGAAAAATATATAAAAATAAGTCAGTTTAATTTTTCATCTGACATTTGGACTAGCAACACAGGTTCCTTTTTTAAGGCTAACAGCCCATTTTATTGATGATAATTTTAAAATAAATAACATAATTTTGGATGTCAGTCCAATAAATGAAACACATTCAGGTGAAAATATATTTAAAGCCTTTGTTAAAAATAATTTAGAGAATAAAAATTTTTATATAACTTTTAGATAATGCAACTAATAATAAAACATTTATTGATACATTTTCTTTAAAATATCCATTAATAAAAATAGGGCACATCCGATGCTTTGCCCATGTAATTAATTTAATATCCAAAGAAATTTTAAAAATTTTAAATCCTTCAATTCTAAAACTAAGAAACATTATTAGAATGATTCGTATGTGGTGGAAGGCAAATGCATATCGGATCCCCATGCTCTCGAAAATGGCAAGGGATTATCTATCTATCTATCTATGCAAGGAACATCAACTGCTTGTGAAAGGCTTTTCTCAGTTGGAACTAATTTATTGTCAAAAAACCGCATGTCATATAAGGAAGAAAATAAAAGAAAAACTCTTTGCCTTAAAAATTGGCTTAAATTATAAAATAAATTAATAATATACATTTTAATTTTGTTTATAACTTGATTATATATTATTTATTATCAGATTATTGATTACATATTATTATAATTTTTTCTGTTTAAAATCAAATTTGTAATAAAAAAATTTGTCAATATATTTGAGTATGATTTATTTTATTAAAAAAATTAATTCGAATTATTCGAAATATTCGAATCGAATACAAATAGTAGATTTTATTATTCGTACGAATTCAAATAGTAAATTATTCGATTCAAATTCGTTTTTGAATAGGCCTAATGTGTAGTTGCTATTTAAATAAGGACCTGGAAGAAAAACATTCAGGAAAAAAACTAGGGCTGTGCCAATATTAAATATCGGATCGGTACCGATATTTAGTGTTTTCCGAAAATATCGGATCAGGCCGATACCTGTCATAAAACCGATCCGATCTTTTTACCTTTCTTTTTTTTGTTATTTTATTTTATTTTATTTTATGTTATGTTATGTATATTTATTTTACATTATTATAATATTTTCTAAATAATTTTTTTTAATTTTATTTCTTTTTAAAATAGATTTATAGTATTTTAAAAGTTTTTGTTATAAAAATAGAAAGGAACACCCAAAGTTTTATTTATTTTAAATCTTTTTAAATAACGCCAATTTTTTTAATTATACTTTAAATAAAAGATTTTTTTTTAATATGGTATCTGAATTATGGAAATATTTTACAAAAGACAAAGATAATTTTGCAAAATGCGTTATCTGCGGAATCATCTGAGTCTGCCTTCAGTACGGCAGGAGATATAGATAGTCCATATCGTAGAAACTTATTCCCAAAAAATCTGGAGGCTCTCATATTTATTAAAAAAATCTAATATATTATAATTTTATATATTAAATATTACAATTTTATAACTCATACCAACATAAAATGGATATATATTTTTTTTATTATAGTCTTAATTGTAGAAATAAAAAAATTAAATTAAATTCATATTTCGATTTTTTACATAAAAAATATTTATTTCTTAATTACATTTGGTTCAAACGGGGGTGATTAAAAATCAGTATAAATATCGGATCGGTATCAGATCGGGTTTGAAGCATCGGAAAATATCGGCTCGGATCGGTGATAAATATGTGGATCGGCACAGCCCTAAAAAAACCCTAAAATAACAACGGAATATACAAATAAGATAGATCTTGTAATTTGGTGTAAAAATTTTTTTTAACCCTCAATTAATAATTAGCAGCATGGTTGATAGTATTTAGCCTTATTTTATCTCAAATAATATTCAAGAACACTAATTTGAAGAATTAATGCTAATAAAAAATATACTTTATTATAACTTCATTAAAAATGTCAATTTTATCAATTATCTAATATTTCAGAAAAGGATTCATATTAAAATATAAATACATTCATTGTCAAATTAAATGTAGCAATAAATTTTTTTTAATTTTTTTTTACCCCCTCATGACGTAATTTCCATTGCGTTAAAGATTCTCATAAAATCAATGTACTCCTTGCTATAGTTGGCAAACAACTAATTCATCTCAGTTTATGGCTTAGCCTAAGCCAATAAAGCAGCTACGGCTAATTAGCTGTAGTCGTTTTATTCTTAGGATCAATTTTAATCGGCTAAGCCATTTCCATATTTGTAAGATATTATCAAGAATCGTTTTAAAATCGACTCATTTATTAAATCCTTTTTTATATCACTTGAAAAATAAAATTTTGTGTATGATGTTAGAGGTCTAACTTTTATTTTAAAAATTTTAATATTTAAATTCCAAAATTCCAAAATTACCTATCTTTTTATATTTAAAATTACATCTATATGTATCATTTATAAAATCAATTCACAGTTGGCTGCACTGTTAGATCCTAAGTTTCAAAAGTTAAATATCGTGAATTGTTATCTTAAATTAACATATTATAATTCAATTTTTATGATTATGACATTGCCTTAAAAAGATGTGGAACAAATAGTTGAATACGAGAGAGATGTTTATTGAAGCAAATTATATACAAAAATTAGCCGATAAACATTCACCTGATGCTCATGTGATAAACGATATTCAGATTTAGAGAGATAATGTTACTTGTTATTTTAACCTCTATCTTCATCAGTAGATAATGTTCTAGACCTTTGGAAAAAGAGAAAATTATTTTATAACTTAAAGTTTTTGTCAGTAAAATATTATGTCACGCTAAAAGCACTCCCAGTTAGCATATTTTCCAGTTGCCAGGCTAATTTTAAATTCGAGAAGATCCTGAATATGCCTTTTAAATTTAGACACATTAATTTATCTTTTTTATAATAACCATTAATACAATATAATTTAAAAAATTTGTTAAATTTTTAATATATTTATATATAATAAATTTTATTTGGCAAAATTTGTTTTAATAAAAAAAAAATTTTTTTAGTGTATTATTAAAAAATCTAAAAAATTTTTTAGGTTAAAATTTGGCGCACCGCTGACTATATAAACGGCGGAATGAAAAACGGAGCAACAGCGATCGCCATAAAGCAAAACGCCACAGCTAATTTTTCTCATCGGTGAACGGGTCTAAGTATATATAGATTAAATAGATAATATAACAAAAAAATAAAACACTATCATCATGATTAAACTCATTGTTAATTTATCTTCATAAAAATATAATAAACCTAACACAATTAATGGCTTCTCCAACATTTACTTCAAACTTTAACTTTTTAGTATGCCATTCAAAACCAGACAAGTGACCTTTAGTGCCACCCAAAAGCAGATCCCGCCCATTTCTTGAATAATCCATGGTATAGGGGCCAAATTGTTCCAAATTTAAGATAAAAGACTAAAGTTGTTTTAATTAAAAATTTATCAAATTATATAAACAGATAATTTTTAGTTTTACTAAGTTTTTAATAAATTACAATTGTTTAAATAACATAATCTTAACCTTATTTGCCGTAGATATGTCAACATTTTCCAATATATCTTTTTGAGTTAATTCATAACTTTCTTCTTCATTTTCAGGAATTATATAGCTTCAAGATAAAATTGATATATAAAATAAAGATCTAATAAATATAATGAAGTATTTTTTTCCCGAGCCCAGCCAGGTTCAAATTTTATATATACAAGCCCAACCTGAGTCTGGCCCAATTTCTTTAGGACTGAGATTGGAATGGCCCAGATTTTGTAACTCGCGCAAGTGGTTGGGTGGGGCATAGTGTTCATCTCCATATTAAAGTTTTATTTAACATACATTTAGATATTTTGGTAAAATATTAAAAAATTTAAAATTTCATATCAAAAATTTTAAGATTTCATATTAAAAAATTTAAGATTTCATATTAAATAAAATTTTTATAAAAATCTATTTAAAACATGTAATAATTAAAAATAATGAATATTTAAATATTAGTATAATAAAATTATCTTCAAATAATTATGTAAGAGTTAATTGACATTTTTGAATAAAAAATGTTTATATCAATAAAAATTATTGAATAAAAATACATGAAACTTTGTCTTGGAGTAAAAATTTAAATACCTTTAGGGAGTCATTATACCCCAACAACTACTCATGGGTTAATCGAGATATATAAATCAAATACATTTTTATCAAGTTAAACAAAATTTTAAAAAATCAATTGCTTCATCACGCTTTATTCAAATAAAAGAGGAGTTTTATTTTTAAGGCCATGTTGGCCGAAATTTTTTAATAAATATCTTAATGTGCCTAGCCTACCCCAATTTGTTTTAATTTTCAATATAGCTTAGCTACACAATGCAAAATATTTTAATATAAAACTTTTAAAATAAAATATTTATCAGAACCAAGATGAAAATTACTATAAATAAAAATTTTTTTTAGATTATTCAACAAAAAATATTTATAATATACCTACCAGAGTTGTTAAAGTACAGATATAAAAATGTGATATCCGTATCTAATAGATAGCCATTCGAATCTGTTTAGATACATTTTGATATAATTTTATTTTACGTTTTTTTTATATAAAATAATAATATTTGAATTAGATTCATTTAATGTCTGAGTTTATTTCATTACAAAAACAAATCAGACAAATTTTATTTTAAGCAATGGATGATGACAACATTCTAAATTTTATATTATAATTTATTTTATATATATTAATTTTAAAAAAATATATCAAAATTTTTAGATCAATATTTCTGGAAAATCTCTGAAAAGAAATTAAATAGTCTAAAATTGTATTATTTTGGGCATCCCTTAGATAATATAAATATTGATATATAAGTTTAAACAGATAAAATTTTGAATAATTTTTTATAAATGAGTGTCTGATTTTAATATATTTAATGATTATACCAATATAAAGTTGTTATTCATTTAATATAACGACCACTCTGCCGTCAATAGTGTTGTTAAACGGCTCGATTTGAGCCGATTTTTAAAAACGGCTAACTAAATGTTTTATTCAAAATATTATGCAGGCCAAAAAATTTTGCTCATAGATGATACAAAAGTTAGGATATCTATTAACGAAATCTCGAGGCTTATGCAATATATTTCTAGCTAAAATATTGAGTTAGCCGTTTTAAAAAATCGGCTCAAATCGAGCTTTTTAACAACACTAGCCGTCAAGTATTCCGGAAGAAAGATTTTAAATCTAAAAATGTCATTACAGTATAGTTGGGTAATTACTATAGTTTTAGGTAAACCTAGTTTTTAGCCGAAAACTATTTTGTCTCGAGATTTTTATTAAAAAGAGAGCAGCTCAAATTTGGATGTAACTAATATAAATTAAAAAGTCTTAATATTGAGGGATTTTCTCCGGTAGGCGTCAAAAGATTGAGCCGAATTAGCTGATATTTAGTCATTACCCAACTATAATTTACAAATAAACGGGGGTGTCCCAATGATAAAAAATTTTTTTTATTATTTTTAATTATTATATATTTTGTATATGAAATATTAAAATCTATCAATCATTATTTTAATTATATATTTGTATTAAGATGTGATATTGGCTCAGTAAAATTTATTTAGCTTACTTTGAAATGAATTTTAGCAATAGAATTCTAAATTTAACATTATGCACTAGAGGTCTACAATGGGAAGTTTAGCCCACAAGCCTGTCCGCCCAATGTTTTATAAAAAATCAACCCGCCTATTGTTTAAAAATATATACCCACTCTCCAACCAATATTCTAGATTCTTTACCCGCCAGCCCATATAAAATTTAAATATGACCATTCTTTCAATTTTACAATGCATCTCATAAAAATGATTCAGTTTCAGTGCCACACCCCTAAAAAAAAGTTTTACAACTTATGAGTTATTATATTAAACATAAAAAAAATACGAATTGATCAAATAAAATATTGGAAAAAATATATTGATATTTGTAATTATTATAATGCAAAATAATAATGATCCACATTTTTTGGATTTAAACATCTTCTCCTTTGTTCTAATTCCAGCAATGCTAAATCCTCGTTCAGGAGAAGCACTAATTGCTGGAATTGCCAATATTTTTCTAGCTAATCTTGATAGCTTTGGTAAATCTTTATCTTATCGTTCCACCACATAGTGAAACCATATAATAAATTTTTAAAAGTGATTTAAAATTAAAATTAATTGTAACATAATAAGAAGCCTTAAATCTTGTTATATATACGAAATCAAACTTGCCATAAGATTTAAATATTTTTTTATGTTATTAGGTAACAGTGTGCTCCTCTATATCAACCTCGTCCATTTTCTGTGGTATAATTTTGATGATGCTATCTATTTCAAATATTGTATTTATAATTTAATACTCATTAATTGAATTCTCTTTGCTTTTGGGAAAACGGGTAAAATGTGTAGTCCATGGAATTTTTTAACCTGACCACACACCCATAGTTTGAATATTTTTTTAACGTGCCCGCCTACCCAATCTTTAAAATTTTTACACGCATCTACTTAGATGGTTGAGTAGGCTAAAAACCTTCCTATTTCAGACCTCGATTATGCAAACCATACATAAATATAATAAAAAATTTATCTGGAGCATTTTTAAAAACGTATCTGTTACGTTTTAGATGATGTACCTGTATCTAGATCCAATGTATCTGTATAAATCCATTTGAAAAGTGTCTTTTAACAACTCTGAAACCTACTAATCTAAAGCTAGTGTTTTGAAATTTATGATTTTATCTAATTTTTAGAATAATAATAAAATATAGTAATCTTAAAACTAGAAATAAAGTTAAAGGAATTAATCATAATCAAAATATATCATATATGATTCTAAGAGATAGATCCAAATCAATGGGGGGCAGAGAAGACAAGAGGGGTAAGCTTTTTTATCTAAAAAAATTAACAAATCAAACCAAATTTAAATTTAATGCCATATCTTCATAAATTATCATCAAAAATTTCTTAATGTTTACTAACCAATTCTAGAATCTACTGCTACGCAACATTTTTCCTTGTCAATAGGGAGATTTGATGTTTTGGATTGGTCCAACGAAACATCCTACCGAATTCCGCATTTGTTTTATTGTAACTTGATGAGGCATTCCTAAATTGACTACTATCTATGGTAGTCTGAATTAGTGATCTGCATCGGGCCTAATTTTTTAAGCCCGGCCCGAAATTTATTTTATAAAGTTTTGCCTGGCCCAGCCCGAACCCGAAATTTTTTTTAAAAAATTTTGCCGGCCCAGCCCGAATTTATTTAAATAAAGAAATTAATTTTTATAATTACTCAAAATAAATGATATATGTTATTTGGCGTCTTCTATAAATAAAATCACATATTTTTATTTCACATAAAAAATTCAACATAAAATTAATAAATTTAGTAAATTTTAAAAAATTTCTAAGGCCCGACCCGACCCGAATTTTCTTAAAAAATATTAGGCCCGAAGCCCGTTTGGCCGGGCTGGGTTCGGGCCTACTTTTGTAGATCTCTAGTCTAAATATTACCCCATTAATTTTCATTATTACCATAGATAGGGTCCTTGTTCGTGATTCAATCTTATTTTCAACTTGAGTATCGCCCTAAACATCTAACGAATGGTTACCATATGCGGTCGATGGATAGGTTGGCTTATTTTTAGTCTTCCAATACTTGTCTATATATTAACTCCGATCAATGATGACTATGCCCCAGTGTCAAATTCAATCTAACCCATATATCTTTGCAGTTAGTTTTGCTCCATTTTGTCAAATCTTCCAATATTATGGATAGAATCACTTAATGAAACACATATGATTTAAATTCTTTGATTTGCAACAAATTGCAAAATGACCAATTTTTTTACATTTTTTACATGCCGCATTTTTGGCTGGACATCTATCTTCTTGGTCATGAATAAACCCACATTAAAAACATTTACATTTTAATTACCAAAAATTAAGCCAACCTGTCCATCGACCGCATATGGTGACCTTTTATTTGATGTTAAGGGCGAGACAAAAGTAACGTTAAGATTGAATCACGGACAAAGACCTTATTTGTGGTAATAATGAAAACTAATGGAGTACCTTTGTTCAGATTACCATGGATAGTAGCATTCAACAAGTTACAATAAAACTGGTGCGGAATTCGGCTAAGGAAGTGTCATTGGACCATTCTAAAACATTGAATCTCGCTATTGACGAAAAAAAATATTGCGTGGTAGTATTCTAGAATTCGAGAATTGATTAGTAAACATCAAGCAATTCTCGATAAGATGGGACATATATGTGATTTTGCAGTGAGAATATATTTAAAAAATACAGCTGTACCAAGATCGTTTCCAGTCCGCAAGTGGCAATTAAAATGGAATTAGACCAACTAGTGGCTGCGTGAGCTATCGAAAAGATTGATTCGGCTATAACTAGGGTACAGTAGTCAACGCCAACCATAAATGTATACAAGAGTAGACGGTGTTTTAATTTGTGCTGATATGCCCTACCTTAGAAGATTTGCTAAAAAATTTAAGGTGGTGATAAATTTACCGTTATACTGAAAGATGTGTACTTACAGATGGAGTAGAATCGGAATCTCAGGAGTTTCTAGGATAGAGACAAATAAGGGATATTTTCGTATTGATGAATGTGGCAAGTGCACCTACTATATTCCAGATATATGGATGAGTTGTTAAAAGATTGCCAAACCAGTGCTTACTTAGATAACGTAATTATTTCTGATAGGAACAATGAGCACATAAAAAATTTGTGAATGGTGTTAGACAGATTACAGATTGACGAAAGTTAGATTTTTACAAAAATCCGTATCATTTTTTATTGATAAATCCGGTATACATCCTAATCCAGAAAATGTAAAGGCCATCCGAAATGCACCAAAGCCTAAGAAATGTACAACTTAGTTCTGGTACTCGTAAATTATCATGAAAGTTTTATTCGAAAACGACATAGTAGAACTGTGTTAATACATAGATAAACGAGCGTGAAAGTACCTTGGCAGTGGGTGAATGATGAACAAGATTTTTTTGAAGAGGTTAAAAAATATTGTCATCCAAAGCGTTAATACCTTATAACGTGTAGTTACCAATAATTTTACAATGTGACATCAGATTCAGGATTAGGGGCTGTGTTGTTACATCAATTAATAGATGGAAGGACAAAACTTTGAACTGATCACAAATTATTACAGCGATCTTGGGAAGATTGGAGATCTACCTATAATTTCTAATAATCGTTTGACTCATTGTGATCAGAAGATGGTTTCTTATGATTTCACAATCTAATATATGCCTGGAAGTAAAAATGTTATTGCAGATGAATTATCAAGGCTCCCGATATTGGGCGTTGAAGGTTTACAAAAAGAGTTGGGATTAACATTAAAAAAATAGCAGGTCATAGTTGGCAAAGTTAGCAAAGCATTGATTGTCATAAAATTAAGAAATTATTAGTATTTTATAATAAACAGAAAGAGTTATCTGTTGATCTTGATATAGAATAGAATGGGAGATTGGTTATACCCAATAAATAATGAATGCAGTGCTAAAAATAATTCACTGTGGTCATCCTGGTGAAAATGTAATGAAATCAATTTTTAGAACATATTGTTTGTGGCCTGTAATATCAATATAGAAAATTAAATCAAAATATGCTCTGGATGCTACAAAAATAGACCTGAAATTCAAGAAGTCTGTATTCTTGGACTATAGGTAAATTGGAACTGAATCCATATTGATTTTGCTGGACCAGTGTATTCGCAATATTAAAAATTTGGTGTAGATTCTTACTCCAAATGCTTGAAGTTGGTCTAATGCAGAATACCTAAAATGAGGCTATGAGCAAATGTTTAAAAAAATAGTTTGATAGGTTTAAAATACTAAGTATATTGGGACCATAATTCATATCTGTTTCGACGTTACTGTGAATTAAATAAAATAAACATATATTTTGGACACCCTATCATCAAAAAAATTACACAAAGAGAGAATCTTCTGATCCAGATGAGGCTTTGACACAAGTTTTAACAACCTATCGACTGGGGAAGCATAACTCTACAGGGAGATGTCCTGCCAAGATTATGTTTGGAAGATAAATGAAAACTAGTTTGGATTGGATAAGACTAAATGTAAAACATGAGATTGAAAAGGCAAATGAGAGACAAAATCATGATTTATATTCAAAAGGGAAAGTATTTCACAACCTATTTGGTTAAACAATAAGAAGGCTGAGGGTTGGAGAAAGGGATTGATAAAAGAGAAAACAGGGTTATATTTATATATTGTTGAAACTCCCTATAGAATATTGCAAAAATATGCAGATCAGCTAAGAGATCTTTCAATTATTCTGTCTTATGAAAGTTCATCAAAAGTTACAGAAATAGTTGTGCCAGTAAATGAAGCAGGTATAGACATTATATTGTTTATCAAGAAACCGTAAATTAACAAAGAGGTTTATTGAGGAAATTTAACTGTAAAATATTTGTAGGAAATGTAAATATATTATTCATAAAAAAATAGAACATTTTAAAAATTCATAACTACAATGTTATTGTAAAAAATTATTTTGACAACTTGGAATGAATATATAACAAAATCTATGGTATTCTTATGGTTTTCTAATATAAGTAATAAATTTATTAAGAAAGTAAAAATAATTATTTTTAAAAGATTATAATTTTTTAAATATTTATAATAATTTAATTAAAATTTTTAAAACTACTATATAGTGTCTATTATTTAAGATAAGAGTAGCTTGTCAATGGGGATAGGGTATGTGAGGGGGTCCAATATAGACCACCCCCCCCCACACACACTCTTATAAAATTTGTGGTTGTGTGTCTATATAGCTGTATATAGCTGACCAAAATTAAAATATTTTATTTTGTAAACTGGTTTAGAATAGTAACTAAAAAAAACTTTAAAAAACGTGTTTTCTACTTTAACAACTAAAGATTCAACTATAATCATGTCTAAAAAATCTCTTAACCCATATTCCTCAGTGAGTAAGATTTCTGTTTTGGCTGCTGTTTTTGCAGCAAAATAAAGACGTTTCTCTCTTTGTAATTCTTTAATTCGTTGATATTTTGATTTAATATTTATATGCTCTGTCACGTTTTCGCCTCTTGAATATTTTTTCCCACATTCGTTTATCTTCTTTGAATGAGAATTATGAAAGGATTTTTCATCTGTGAAAGGACTATTATTATAATTATTTTTTGGTTCTATATATTTTTCTTTAGTCTTATTAGAGGCATCTACGAAATATCGCAAAGTTCGCTATGATAAAATTTATATAAAGTTAAAACAACAATTTTACTTTGGACATGCTTTTCTCTATCGTTACTAAAATATTTGCTAAAATCAAACGATATACATTGTGTCACATATAACTTTCAAATAAAGTCATATGTTAGTTGGCAGTTTATTTAGAAAAGCAACGAATTATAAAAAAAATAGAGAGAGGCAGATGTGGCGGGTGTATTCTTAGATGTTGTGTTTTAACTAGTTTATGATAGTTATTATGTCTTTCTTCTAGTGATATGTTTTTATATTACCATTTATATTTTTGTTTTTCTTTGTTCAATTAGAAGTAATGTGTTTTTCTCGTATATCTTTTTTTTTCTTTATTCACGTATACCAAGCTTGTTTTGATTTCATTCTCAAAACTGGTTCTAGCTAGTTTTCGAGATGGACCTGGATTATTAACATTCTTTTTTTATTATTTAATTTATCTATATAAAGACCACCAAAAAAATGAAAACGAGTTGATTTTTTTTTTGAAAGATTAATTAATTTCTTTTTTGGTAACTATTAAAAATAAATTTGTTTCACCATATTTACACTATGTTGTCCGCGTGATCCCATGATAAAATCAATACCCAAACCCGGCCCCCTGGATCCCATTATCAACCATCCCGGACCCCCGATCACGGACTGTTTTCCCCATTCTGACGGTGGGACCCGTCGGTCGGAATCAAAATTTTAAATTATCAATGAATGTGAGGAAAGAGCGTTGATGGCTATGTGATTTAGGTGCTAAAGCATCTCCCTTTCCAAAATTAGCATCAACTTTGAAAAATGAGTTAGCTACCACCCTATTTTTTTAAATTGGCACCTAATTTTTAAATAATTTGCATCCATCTAAATTAAATTTAAATAATTTGCATCCATTTATAAAATTTAAATAACTTTATTTCTTACTAAATTCAATATATAAAAATTTTCTTTATGGCATTAAATCATTTTATTATTTTCTTCCTTTTGCTTTAAGCCAAACCAAATTTTGTATTTATAATTATTTTATATATTATTATTTTATTAGATTAAATCCTACACAGAAAATATAACAAACCTATTAAAATTAACAGTTTTAATATTCAGGGTAAAATTTTTCATATTTATTTATTTTTCTTTTATATGCCTCTCAAAATACAATATGAACATAAGATCTTATAAATCAAAAACTCGACAATATTTGTTTCCGTAAATTTTTCATATTATAAAAGATGTTCTAGAGTTTGTTTAGGCATATTAGAATACGGTCTTTTTGGCAACAATACTAATAGGTACAAGTATAAATTAAAAATATTTTTAAAAAGAGATAACGCTTACACGTAGTTATCAACTAATATCATACAATCGGAAAATTATAATGTAGATATATATACAATACACGTCTAATATCAATAATTTTCTATTAATCTTTAAGATTAACAAAAGGCACCAGTGGCGTATCTTGGATTTTCTTATGGGGGAGGGGGGGGGTTAATTGGCCTTCGGCCGGGTCTTATGTTTTAGCTATTCTATTAAATTATTCATAATTTAATAATAATTCTATTTCTATTTTTAACTATTATTTACTAATTCGTGCTTATGGATATTACAAGCCTATTTTTTATTATTTTAAGTTAGGTATATTATATTTAATAAAGTTGTTTTAAATGTAAAGTTGAAATAAAGTTTAATGTCATTTTTTTATAAAATTTGCTTTAAAAACTAGCCTCAGCTTAAATTCTCGTACAATATAAGTAGAATATAATTTTTTATTGAAAATACGAATAGTGTATAAAATATTGACTAGGAAATAATTTAAAAAACAAGTTTATTTTACTTCTTATCAAATACAATATTATACAAAATTTTTTATTAAATACTATAATTATAATGTGATTTTTAATTTTCATGGGAATGTTGCCAATTCATCAAGAATTTCGTTTGTCATTGGAACCAAATCTCTGTGGATATTTAACAGAGCTAACCCATTTAGCCGAGATTCGAAAGTAGTACTTCGTAAATATGTTTTCAACCTTCTCAGTTGGAAACAGTCCTTTCATTCGTATCTGTTGTAATAGGCAAACATGCAAGAATATAAAACAACTTCAAAATATTAGAAAATTTAGCCAAGGTTTCATTACACCGATTGAGCGCATCAATAGCATGCTCAGGTAAAATAGCTAAACGTAGTAAATATTTATACCACAATGAAGAAGGATCTTTGGGTAATACAACAACTTGAAGCAGTGGCGTCGCTAGGGGGGAGCGCAGGGGCTCGATCCCCCTGAAAAATTTGAATAGCCCTCTAAAGCAAAATTTTTTTTTTTAATGGCTCCATAATATCTCCTTGAGCTAAAATTAAATTTTTTAATTGCCCTCTGAATAATTTCTTTTATAATTCTATTGAGTAATATATAGATTTAATTTTATTAAAAAATTAATAAGACTATCTTAATTTTTATTAAATGAATACTATTTTAATTATTAGATTAGATTATTACATATGAATTATACTATGTCAGCTTGCAATCAAATTCTGTGTTAAAAATATAACAATATCACTCACTAAATATTAATCTAGCTTTAACAGTTGAAACTTAATTGACTTTTATTATTTAAATTATTATATAACCCTAATAAATATAATTATTTATTAATTGAATATAAATAATTTAATATAGCCGAGTTCAAAATCACTAATCAATTATGTTATTGATTTTTAAATTTAATTATCATGCCTCTTCCTAAAATTATTTTCAAGGTCCAAATCCATATAAGTATAAGAGATTTATTTATAAAAAGTAAGTAGACATATAGTTTATAATCCTCTATTATATATTTTTTTTTTATAAAATATTAGGTAAAATGCCACTTTTACAGACGTATGTTATATAATATATTACAGTTAATATTTTTAAAATTTTACTAATAAATGCTTTTGATAATAAATATAAGTAACAATTTGCTTACAAATAATTAACGCTATCTATTTATTTAAAATATAATTAAAGTTAAATGTATTATTATTCATCCCACAATAGATATAATAAATTCGATATCTTTTCTTCTCTTTTTTTACGTGTTTTTAGGAAAGCTATATTTTTCTTCTTCGAAAATAGATTTAAGTTAAATCTTTAATACAAATATATTTTTGATATTATTATAAACTACTATTATTTTAAGATATAATATACCAACTAGAGATAGCGCCATAATAATATATAAAATCTTAATTGCTTTCATGATATCACTCTGATTCATATTTTGTAGTTACAAAATGTTTCATTTCTAATATGACATCCTTACCGTGTAAATAACTCAAGGCTTCAATATATTTGCATAATTTCTTCTAAAAGTTTTAATGTATAATAAATTGTGATGGCTTACCATCGTGAGTGTCATGGATAGGACTGCAAATTAACCAGCATCTATTATTTGTGTGGCTATGTAATTTAAGATTATTACTACTGCTGCTGAGAGCATATGATCGCATATTTTAGATAAGCAATAGGTCAACTGTGTAGTCGTTTATATAACATTGAAAATGGAAGATAATCTTTTAGAAATTTAATATCATAAAATAATTTTATCGATTACTTATCTAGCTTCCATCATGGAATCTAAGAGGAAGCTCTAACCACCATATAGTTTATTGATTTGGATTGGTCGTTTATATTTTCTTCTTCAAGAATTGTAGATTTGGTAAGGTCTATAAATTTTTTCTTATTAGTCTATTCTATAAAACATTGTCTAAAATGGTAATAGGGAGTTATATTAGTTTCATGACCTTTTGTCAATGTAAGTTGCTAACAGCGTCTACATGAGCGGGAGGGGTAGGAACAGTTTGCATCCTATTTTTTTGAGGGGGTAAGTTGCTCTAATGGGGGTAGGATAAATTTTTTGGGGTTATCTATTAAATTTTGAGATGAAATAGGACAAAATTTATTGCTGTAAAAATATACTTTTATTATAGTATTATAATGCAATTCATCTACCAAATCTATATATTGCAAACAATCATACACATTGTTTTCCAAATAAACTATCCTTTTAAATGTAATTTAAAAGGTTTAGATATTTTAGCAAGCTCATAATGCCATAATAATTAATTCATTGTAAAAATGGAGGTTTTAATTGAATTTATTATCTAAAAAATAAATTCTTTATATTCACAAAATATCGATAGTTGGTAGTAGAGATAGATTAATTTAAGTTATCCTTTATAAATTCTTTGAAAAGAGTATCATTAAATAAATAGGTAAAAATAATGATAATTTTTAGGGGGGTAGGCAAAGGTTTTTGAAGGGGGTTTGCATCCAGTGAAAATCCTGTCATGTAGACGCTGGTTGCTAAGAATTATATTATATTATGTAGTTTTCAAAAAATATTATCAATTGAGACATATATGAATTAATTAACCTTTTTTATCATTTATTATTCTTCAGACTCAAAATCATTTTATATCAACAATCGAAAATATTTTATACTGTAATAAATAGATTTTCTATTAAAAAAATATTATTTTTAGAAATGTCTTGAATTATTTTTATATGCTAGTTTATTTTGTATGCAGAATAATTATTTAGAGTTAGTAAATTTTAAAAAAGTATAATATATTAATATAAAACCCGGCCGAAGGCTGGGCAAAAGCGGGCCGAAGGTCAGCAAATTGGGGGTATGGAAGCGAACCCCCCCCCCCATAAAAATTTTTAGTTGAGTCCCCTGAGATTGTAAAGGCTAGCGACGCCCTGACTTGAAGATTGCTAAAGACTTGTTTTTTATCTAAAAACCATACTTTTATTTGCGATAAAAAAGTATCTAATAATGGGAGGAAAATGGATATTTTATAATATTCTTCAGCTGAGCCAATATTTATATTACATCTCAATAATTGACTAGGTGCTAGACGAGGTTTAATTATTGTTATATCATAATTAGCCTTCGATTTAACGTCTAGATAAATATTATGAAAATAATTATCTACGTTCATTCTTATTGTATCTACCTGTTCATATATTTTTTCCGTCAAATCAATAACCTGAACCAAATTTGGTTTTTGTAAATTTCTACAAAGTAGTGAGCTAAAAATAATTTATTGATGCAACTAGCAGCAATGATAAACTCTGATTGATCAATTGAATTCAATAATGTTATCACTTCTGACGACACATTACTTTTTTTCATGCTCAGCCTTATTTCACTTTTGTATTTCTATTTCTTCTGTTCTACAAAATGGAAGTAAAAATGAAAAATATTAAAAAAATTATAGATATTTATTAATAATTAAAATTATATTAAAAATACTTATTAATTCTAACTCACTAATAATTTTGAATTTTATAAAATAATTATATATAATAATAAAATAAATTACCGTTTGATTTCAATCTCTTTGACTAAAAATTTTTCCATTTTATTAATATTTTTGAATAATGTTAATGTACTCACAAGGAAAGGAAATTTTAATAAAATTTATTTATAAAAAATAAGTTTTATGTTGGAAAATTGATATTCAAATATTTGTAAAATTTTGATAGGGAGGGAGGGGGAGGGGGGGGGTAAAAAAATTTATTAGCTTAAAATGAAATATTTTAAATCTTATCAATCATCCCACAATGGATATCTTCTTTTACTTCTCTTTTTTATGTGTTTTTAGGAAAAAATTTTCCTTCTTTGAAAAACAGTTTTGAGTTAAATTATTAATACGTTAATATTTTGATATTATTACAAACTACTATAAGCCATAATATACCAACTAAAGGTGGTGCTACAATAATATATAAAATCTTAATTGCTTTCATTATATCATTCTGTCCTTAATTTTTAGTTACTAAATGATTCATTTCTAAGATGGCGTCCTTACAGTGTAAATGACTCAAGGCTTCAATATATCTGTATAATTATTTCTTCTAAAGATTTTTAGTGTTTTTATTTTATAAATTTATCTAACATAATAAATTCTGTTATGAGATTACATCGTGAGTGTCATGGCTATGATTGAAATTAACCAGTATCCATTATTTGTGTGGCTATTATAATTTAAGATTATTACTCTTGTTACTGAGAGCATTTGATTGCATAATTAAATGAGTAATAATGGTCAACTGTCTAGTCATTTATTATTATTTAAAATGGAAGATAATCTTTTCGAAATTCAATATCTCACAATACTTTTCTCGATTACTAATCTAGCTTCCATAATGTCATCTGAGGAGGCTCTAACCACCATATAGTTTTATGATTTAGATTCGTCGTTTATATTCTCTTCTATGAGAATTATTGATTTGGTTAGGCCTACAAATTTTTCCTTATTAGTCCATTCTATAAGACATTGTATAAAATGTAAAACACAAGTTATATAAGTTTTATGCTAAGAATGCGTTGTGGGGTTCTTAAAAACTATTATCAATTGAGGCAGTGTATGAATTAATCAACGACGCAATTTTTTTTATATCCGCAATCGGAACATTTAATATTATAATTTTCCGATGTCCTCAATACGTCATCGTGACGTCATCTCATCGCTACGTCATGTCATCGGTACGTATTTATTTATTTATTTGTTGATTTATTATTTGTTGATTTATTATTTGTCGATTTATTATTTATTTTTAAATGTCTATACAAACAGATGAGCCAATAACATCGGTTAACTATGCAACTGTAGGATGCCAAAGTAAAACCTTAAATATTCTTTTAATTTAACTTTACAAAATTCTACAATCATTTTCATTTTTGTACAAATGCAGGTTCTCAAACTAAGACAGTTTTTATATACATATTATTTATTATCATCCTTTAACAATATATACCTTTATAAAACTTCCATTTCCTATGCAAGTATTGGATGTCAAAGTAATACATTAAATATATATTATTTACAAAATATTACAAATTATTCATATTATCATTAATATTTAATAAATCTACCTATCAAAAAAATACATTTACTCAATAAAATACCAACAGTCAAAATAATTATTACTCAAGAAGCTGCTATCAGTGTAAATAATTATTCACCAAATGTAAAATACAATATGATACATAATATTTTTGTTATATCAATTATATTACAATACTAGTAGATAGCCCATCAAAAATGACGGGGAATGAGAATTTTCTTCTTATATTTATGTTAGATGTTACCTGTTATTTGAAAATTATATCCAATTTAATTCTTTTTACCCCTTGCCATCTTCAGGCCAGGTTCAATCTATTAAAACTAAGACTAAATACTATGGTTTGAGTAAGAATAAATTTAAAGCTTTTACTTGATAATACCAATATGTTAAATTTACTGATCATTTATACATAATATTTCATATTAAAAAAAATTCCCAGGTAAAGTACAAAGTCATAATAATTTTGAAAAATTTATCTAAGCTGAATGAACGATCATAATAATTTTGGTAGTTGAGAACTGAAATAAAACTTTTAAATAATCATAATGAATTTAAAAATACAATAAAAATCAGATTTTCATGGGCCTTGGTTTTTTGATCAGGCTGAGCCCAGGCCTGCAAAATAATTTGTTTTAGGCCAATGTCTGACCCATAGTTAATAATAAAAAAATTATCAAACGTCCAAGCTCATAATTTTCCCTATGCCGAGCCCAATATAATTTATAAAAAATATTTTCCAAGCCCAGTCCAACTCATAATAATTTTATAAAAAATTTTCTCAAGCCTGTCCAACCCATAGTAATTTTCAAAATTTTTTCCCAAACCTGGAGATAGGTAAATCTCTAAAAACCATATCAATTTTTTATTCTATCTTAACCCAGCTCACCCCTACTTCAGACCAAGGCCAACCCATTTAGACTAAGAGTGAATACTATTTTTTGAATAAAAATAATATTTAAATTAGCTTTTACATGAGGGCCATATAATTATTCTGCGTTAAATATTACACCTATGCCTAATATTAAAAAAATTTTCAAGCCAGGTCCACGCACTTGGGAAAATTTTCTTAAACCTGCCAAAGACCATAATAATTTTGGTAGTTGAGAACTGAAATAAAATATATAAAAAGTCACAATGCATTTAAAAATACAATCAGAATATGAAAGTTTCAATGGTAATTGAAGTATTAGTAAGTGGACAATTTTTACAAAATTATTTAATTCTTTATTTTATTATTCAAAATATTACACTACTAATAATCTCTGCAATTTCTCTTGGAATATCTGTCAATTTTTTCTTAAACCATACAATAAATATATTACAATAACTTAGATCGTAACATTAAAAGGTGCTGGAAAATAAGGATCTACTATATGTCAAACAATATATATGGTTGAAAGAAAATATTGATGATATTACCAAATATTCTGAGTCAATTTTAAAATTGACAACAAATGTAAAATATTAAAAGACAAAAATATAAAATAGTTTTAATTTTAGGAATCTAAAAATTGACATCTCGGAACAGTATTATTTTATATATGTATATAAAATTAACTGCATCATACCTTAATGAAATTGCTATCCCTATGTCTAATGATTCTGTATATTATGTTACTATTATTTGTTATTTATTATTGAATAATAGCTAGATCAAGATAATGCCAACAAAGAAAATGAAAACCCTATAGTTATTAATAAAAATATTCCTATTCCTACTCTTAAAAGATATTATATAATTTCTATTATAATTTTATTATATAACTCAAATATAATAACTTATATATATTTTATGGAAAAATTATCTTTCAAAATAAAAGTTATTATTAGTTTTCCAACTGTTTATTAAATATTGATACAATTATTTACAACATATATTTATTTATTAAGTATATAAATAAAATTTAAATATAACCATTATCAAATAATAAGTTCATATAAATTTTAATAACTGAAAGGTAATATATAATAATAAATATAATTTAATATTTACATATCTTTTAATAAATAACTAATAATTGAATCATATCAAACATTTTGAATATTTTAATTTTTTTAAAACTTAAATGTGTCCAAGATGTTGTTATTAATGTAAAAATTTTAAGGATTTTTTTAAAACATTTTGGACGCAGCTTAAAATAAAATTTTAGTTAATTATCATTCAATAAATTTTTTGGGTTTAAAGAAAAGTTATTTGGAGAATAGAATAATATTTCTTAAAATTATAAAAATAAAATTTGGTATCTATTCTATCTCCAATTTTGGAATAATAATAAAAATGATTATTTTAGAAAGGAACTATTTATTATACACATGAATTTCATATAAAACCTACACTTATCATAAAAAATTATTTAAATGCTTTTAAGACCTTCATAAATACTCTTTTAACTTCTCCCTTAACAATCATTCTTAATTGTTATGTATACCTAATAAATTAAGACACTGGATACAAAAATTTTCATGGCTCAGTTATATATTTTCCATTTTATCAGACTTTAGATTTTTATAAGTAAATTTATACCCTATTTTTTTGTGACATAATAATTTACTATGTTATTTATATATATATTATTTTATGTAGATAAGAATAACAATAAATTCTCATATACCTAGGAATCTTAACTTATAATGTTTTTCTTCTGGACTGGTATTTTTCATAGGATAAGGTTTCATAGTTTTTTAAGGTGTTTGATATTGGTTTTTCTAACTCTAAAATAATTAAAAATTATTTATTAATATTAAAAATTTACTTTGATATAAAGTGCTTACCATCTAATGAGCCAGGTCAAAATATTTTTATGCAATCTAAAAATATATTAATATATCTAAATTTATAATACCTTCTCCCAATGTTCTCTAGTTGGAACTGGCATATGAATATCTTTTAAAGTTTTCCATATAGCATCACATACCTCTGGAATGATGATAACAAAGCAATTCGCTTATTCTGCTTTTTAACTTGGTTTGTTTTTTCTTATATTGGTAGTTGGGTTTTGTTGAATAATCTAATAAAAATAATATAATTATAAAAAAACTGAAAAAATTATACTTGGTTGCTGGATATCATTGCTATGAAATGTGAAGTGAATGAAATGGTAAGTGTATGAATGCAGGTGATTACTATTGGATCGATTACGCTATAATCATTTTTATTAGACAAATATGTTTTAAAAGAAAACTATTGGCTAAATTTGATTGACGTTTTTTGAAGATTATTATAATAGATTTAAAATTAATTAATTTTTTTTTTAACTATTTAAATTTCAAGATTTTTTTTTATTTAAAAAAGCATCTTATTAATTTATAGAATCATATAATAATAACCTTTTATGCTCTAATAAATATTTCAAGTTTTATTTTTTTTTAAAAAAGCATTTTATTAATTTATAAAATCAAAATATATTAATAACATTTTATACTCTACTAAATATTTATATATTAATGATAAAGCCATATATCATAAATATCATTTACAACATTGTAAAGCAAGGGGGATTTTAAATACACATTTTATTAAGGGTAGCGTGGCTATTTTCATTTTTGTCAATGTGTTTTTAGGCGGATTTAGCAACAAGAATGTGCCCTAACCCCCCCCCCCCCCTTTCAATCTATTAATTAATATTATGATACATAATATTTTCATTATATCAATTATATTACAATATTCAAAATTTATTTTCTTATTTATTTTATTTTTATATAGATCAGTTGTCATTTAAAAAAAGCATTTTATAAATTTATAAAATCAAAATATAATAATAACCTGATCATAGTAAAAAAAGTATAAGAATAATTTATTTTTATTTCATGGATAACAAATGATGATGCAAACATTAATCATTAAGCATAAAAAATAAATTGTTAGAATTGTGCAGTGAACTCAATTTCAATCCATATTTTTTTCCATAACTAATTTTGGGGTTGTCTCCAATAAAACGAGGTAAGATTTGTTATTTCTTATAATAATATTAGGGCAGACATGATTTTGTCATGATTCTCTAATAAGTGGTTTACCCAGACTTTCCCAGTTTCTTTTATTACGAATTCACATGTTTTTTTTAAATGTATGCTAGGAGTTAACTCGTAGACTAATTGATAAATCTGAGATTTTCCCTTCATTAATTATAAATTTAATATCTCCGGGTTTGGGAAAATTTTTTTAAAATTATTATGGGTTGGACTGGGCTTTGAAAATATTCCTCAAAATTAATATTGGCTTGGTTTTCAAAATTATTATGAATTGAGCTGAACTTGAGAAATTTTTTTTAAAATAAGGTCTTGGATGCATGGAAATTTTTTCCAAATTTTTTGTATGTAGACTAGGAGTTAACCTGTAGACTTATTGGTAAACCGGAGATTTCCCCTTCAATAATTAGAAATTTAATATTTCCGGGTTTGGGAAAAATTTTTCAAAATTATTATGGGTTGGACTGGGCTTGGAAAATATTTCTCAAAATTATTATGGATTGAGCTGGGCTTGTAAAATTTTTTTTAAAATTATTAAAGTCTTGGATGCTTGGAAATTTTTTCCAAATTTTTTGTTTGTATATTATGAATTAACCTATAGACAAATTGGTAAATCGGAGATTTCCTCTTCATTAATTAATATCTCTGGGTTTGAGAATTTGAAAATTATTATGGGTTGGACTGGGCTTGGAAAATATTCCTCAAAATTATTATGGATTGAGCTGGGCTTGAAAAAATTTTTTAAAAATTATTATGGTCTTGGATGCTTGGAAAATTTTTCCAATTTTTTTTTCTGTATACTAGGAGTTAACTCGTAGACTAATTGGTAAATCGGAGATTTCCCCTTCATTAATTAGAAATATAATATTTCCTGGCTTGGGAAAATTTTTCAAAATTATTATGGGTTGGACTGGGATTGGAAAATATTCCTTAAAATAATTATGGATTGAGTTGGGCTTGAGAAATTTTTTTAAAGTTATTAAAGTCTTGGATGCTTGGAAATTTTTTCCAAATTTTTTATATGTATACTAGGAGTTAACCCGTAGACTAATTGGTAAATCGCAGAAAAAGTATTATCTTTAGAAATATCTTGTATTGTTTTACTTTGGGCTAGGCACTCCAAAAATATTTTTATAGTTGAGCCCCAGAGATTGTAAAATCTAGTGACACACCTGCCTTGCTATATTATTATATGAAATTATATACTATATAGCTTTTTTAATGATATAATTACTACATATATATTTTTTAATGAGTTTAGACTAAAAGGTAAATTTATGTTTATTAAAATATCCCTACAAAATTAAACAATTTAAAAAATATAAACATATAAAAACCAAATAAGGTAAAATTTATTATAAATAAAATAAATTTTAAAAATAATATATAAAATGTTTATAATATAGATTTGTGGTGTCATCAAATTATTATTTTGAAATATTTAGTAAAAAATATCACTATAGAATGTAAAAACAAATTTTTATAAAATATATAAAATACAAAATAAGGCAACATTTTATTTATAGAAAATATATTATATTTTTATAATATAGGATTATTGTATAAATAAATTCCACTTCTTTTCAAAATTTTTTATCCTTTCAATGCCAGTGAAAGTAGGTGATGGCATATGAATGCTTACTAAAGTTAGCCATATAACTAGACATGTGGTCCTTCCTAATGATTATTTGGATTAATGAAATCCTCAGAAGGAAGGAAAGGCCAGGCTAAGATAGCTACAGCTAGTGGCTAAATATCTAGATATAAAATTTGTTTAATAAAGTACTTTATTATTACCTAAGACAAACCCTGCGTTTTTCTTGTATGGTTATAGGATATTTTAAAAAACTGTTGTCTTTAAACTATTTAAAAATTAGATTGCAAATATAAAAAATTTCCTATATAAAATAGAATTAAAGATAAAATATAATAAATAAATACTTTTGTCATTCTCATATAATTGTAAAATTTTGCCTTATTTTTTAAGATTTTAGGAGAGAGGTTGCACTCTCCTTATTACATAGGCGAAACCAAAATTTTCCTAAGGGGAAAGGAATTAAAAAATTACTGGGGGGCCCCAGACCCCAATTTGGACCCCGCTTTTGCCCGGGCTTCGGCCGGGTTACCAGTCTATATATAGTCATAAAATATTTTTAGAAGATAGGAGGTTAATTTTAATAAAATAAAATTAGCCTGGAACAAATATGAAATATATTTTTATTAGTTTATATAAAATATAACTTATATATATAATATAAAAGCATGGTAATAATTTATTACAAACAAGTATATGAAATTTATTTATAAAAAGTAAGTAAGCATATAGTCGATCAGCGTCTACATGAGCGGGAGGGGTAGGAACAGTTTGCATCCTATTTTTTTTTTTGGGGGGGGGGGTAGGCTGTTTTAATGTGGGTAAGATAAATTTTTTGGAGGATTATCTATTAAATTTTGAGATGAAATAGGACAACATTTATTGCAGTAAAATTAATACTTTTAACATAGAATTATTATAATACAATTCATCCACCAAATCTATATAGCAAACAATCATACACATTGTTTTCCAAATAAAACTTTCTGCTATCCTTTTAAATGTAATTTAAAAGGTGTAGACATCTCAGCAAGCTCATAATGCCATAATAATTAATTCATTGTAAATAATGGAGGTTTTAATTGAATTTATTATCTAAAAAATAAATTATTTATATTCATAAAATATCGATAGTTGGTAGTAGAGAAAGATTAATTTAAGTTATCCTTTATAAATTCTCTAAAAAGAGTATCAATATTAAAAAGGTAAAAAGAATAATAGTAGAGACACCGCCGCCGAAAGCGGCGGGGATTTTTTAGGGGGGTTAGGCAAAGGCTTTTGGAGGTGGTTTGCACCCAGTGAAAATCTTTCATGTAGACGCTGTAGTCGATATTCCTCTATTATATAGAATTAGTTACAAAATATAAAGTAAAATTCACTTTTACAGACATATTTAACAGTTAGAGAATATATTACAGTTAATATTTTAACAAATTTTACTAATCGATGCTCTTGATAATAAATATAGCAACAATTTGCGTTCAATTAGTAAATGCCATCTATTTCTTTAAATAAAAAATGATATTAAAAATTAAATTATTCATCCCAAAATGTCTTTAAAAGATATTTTCTGATGTCCTTATCAATATTTTATAGTTTTCTGTAAAATATTTAATTCGCTATATTGGTAAGAATTACTTGATTGTCATATGATAATTGATAAAATTAGATATACTGTAAATCTACTACATAAAATATTCCACTGTTCGTATTGTGCTTTAATTTTCTGATTTAAAATATTATTTAATTTGATCAATAGTTTTATAATTATATTTTACTTTTATTAAGATAAATAAATTAAAATTACTCACTTTATAAAAAATTATATTTGATATAACATATTATTTAGTAATTTTATGGATCTATTATTAATAATTATAATACATTTCACTTTTGTCTTAAGACTTATATTTAGCTTATATTCCATTTTTTAAAAACATTTTGGTTCACTTTTTTATATATAAATGCTTTTTCCCAAAAATGTATAAATTATGATGAATAGGTTTATAGATATCAACTTTTACATTCTTTCTTTCAAATTATTGTTTAAGATATGCATATCAGGGAGTGGAGGAAGGACTAAGAAAGGGGGATATTTTTTATTAGCTTAAAATGATAATCACAAAAATTGATAAATTTCTGAAGGGGGGATTTTCCCTTGCCCCCCCCCCCCCCGGCTACGCCTATGTCTTCTTAACATTTAGATTGTTTAATCTTCACTTCTTCATCATCATTATGTATAAAAAAAATAATTTGATGGAAACCATTATAATGAAATATTATTAAAATCGCTTACAATTACCAGATTTTAAATTCGCTCTATGAATAAAAATCGCGACAACCTATCAGCTGATGCATCGCTGCGATTTTGCTAGCGAAAATCGTTAAAGGATCTTGAATTCATAATCATTTTATTTCGACAAAAATCAATTTTCATAAAAAAAATGGACACTAATGTTTTTGAAACGAACAATCAATTTTTTTCAGTAAAAAATCCTATTCATTTATATCCTAAAACATTTAATTTTGATCATAAATGACCGTCAGTGTTTTTGAAGCGAGAAATTTATGACAACACTCATTTTACATCGGGTCTTACAACGGCTTCGACTGTTAAAATGACTATCCGTGGTAAAATTACAGCATTAAATTTAATGCAGTCAATTTTCAACGGTGCAACGAAAACATTTTAGAGATCATATTTGTTGAATGTCAAATAAAAAGTGGGAAGCCAGGCTTACGGGCCAAAAAATTTTCATTGAGTGAGAAGGGAGTAGCCATCTTACCCCCCACTGTTGCTAGATCTCTGCTTATAATATGATAGAGAGTTGAATCTAGTAACACCCCCCTTCCTCTCCGCCCTCCCAGCATTAATAAAACCATTAAACGTTAATATTATCTAATGTAGCTGTAAAAAGTAGAAAAACTTTTCAGAGATATTGTTTAGAATGGTAGAATAATATGGAAAGTTATGGAAAAGACATATTCATAATATACTGTGCTGTGGTTTATTAAATTATAGTAGCTTTTAAATTGAGTTTAAAGACAGCTGTCAGCTTAGTCACATTTTAACTTTTTTATAGTTTTAGTATTTATTATTCAAAATTTCACGTTTGTGTTCACACTGAAGATATTTAAATAAATATATAGATGGGAAATGAATTTAAAAAGGTAAAATTATATTGACCTTATCCATTTTATAAGATATTATATAGCAAAATAATAAAAATTTAATATATAAATCAAAAAGTCTTGGAAATCTTCTTACTTATGATATATATAGTAATTTTTTTTACAAGCACATAAATAGTATTAAACCATTTGTTATAACTTGGACGAACCAAATATTTCTTCCTATATTTGCTTTAAATAGTATCCCAAATGAAAAAGATTTTAAAGTAATAATTTACAAATCAACAAAATTTTACTATATGTATTAGATTATAGCAAAAATTGGAAATGGTGCTTTTGGGAAGGTTTATAAAGTTTGTAAAAAGGATGAAGATAAATTATATGCAATGAAAGTTTTGAAAAAATCAATGATAATTGATTGTGAAGCAATAGATCAATGTAAAGATGAGGCATATATACAATTTATGTTTGGTAATAATCATCCATTTATATTAGAAGCCCTATACATCTGGCAGAACAATGCAAATTTATATATAGGTTTTATTTTTTAAAATAAAATTTTTATCACTTTTAGAATTTGTTCTGGGAAAGGGTTATAGCAAAAAATTTTCAAGGGTGATGTAATTTTTTTTAATTAAGATTTGTAACTATTTTTTGATATAGCTAGCCAAAATATGATTTAAAATGCTAATAGTGTGTTTATATGAAAATATTGCTAGGATAAAGTGGTCCTAAAGATCTCTAATAAAGTGTAGGGGCTAACTAATAGTTCCCCTTCATCTATAACAAAATCTTTACTATGGACATTGGCTAAAAAATTTATTGTCCAGAGCTTTTAAAAAAATCATGCTGAATTTGTTATTAATGCAGTACAGACTAGTGTTGTTAAATGGCTGTCAAGCTGGCTTAACCCTTAATTCAGTTAGTTTTTGAGCTGTGGCTTATGGTCAAGCCAATTGAGTTATCAGGCTCTAGCCAATTTTTGAGCCAAAATTTATTTATTTGAAATTAGTGTTGTTAAACAGCTGTTTAGCTTAGCCCTTAACTCATCTAGTTTTTGAGTCGAATGAATTAGGCTCAAGTTGGCTCATTGAGCCATATTAGTTGGCTGGCTCGAGTGGGCTCAAGCCAATTTTTGAGCCGAAATTTATTTATTTGCTATTAGTGTTTTAAATAGCTGAGCCAAGTTGGTTTAGCCCTAAAGTGATCTAATTTTTGAGTCAAAAATTGACTCATCAAGCCAGCTCGAGCCATATTAGTTGGCTGGTTCGAGACAACTCAGGAGTTGAAAATTTATTTATTTGAGATTAGTGTTGTAAAATGACTGAGTCAAGCCTGCTTAGCCCTAAACTTAGCTTGTTTTTGTGTCGAAAATTGATTCAGGCATTTCTTAATTTATTATTTAAATATATTATATATTTCGTTTATTTTAACCTAATAGTTTTTAATATAATAATTTAATTAAATATTTCAAGTAAAAAGTAAGTGAAGATAACTATAGTGGTTATATTTTATTTTTTAAAATTGGTTAATAAATTAAGTAAATTATAAGTAAAAATGCAAAAGATTAACCAAAAATTTAAAAAAGAAAATAAACAATTTTTTAAACTGAATTTTCCATTTTTTATAAACAATAAAAACAATATATAAAATTTTTAGACATTAATTAAAAATATAAAATAAAATAGATGAAGTGGCATTAAAGAAAAATTAACCTCTGATGTTTTTGTGTTTTTAATATTTTCTTAAAATGTATAAGTTATTTTAAAAACTGAAATATTATTCATAAAATTAGCCAAAGCAAAGTACTAGACTGGAGTGGAAGAATTTTTGAATATATTCATACTTGTAGTTAAAAATAAGCACTTGAGCTACCTAAGTGTTCTGGAGGCTACTCATGTGGCTCAACGAGAGGTTTTCCAACAGGAGACAAAATGTATATATTTTAAGGTAAAATCTTTGTTGATATTGAAGATAAAAAAAATATAATCAACTATAACGATTGAAAGATGGTGGTTAGTTAGCCCTTAAACAACATTAAAAAAGCATGGACTATGTCTAAATACGTTTTTAAAAATCCTAGCCAGGCCTATATTTTTTTTTTGAAAGTAGTAGCTGGGACAAAATTTTTCTTTTTTAAAAGCCATGCAAAAGATACCTCTGAATAATTATTATTTAAAAGAACCACATTTAAAAATTCATAAAAAACTTAATATTAATAAAAACCACCTTTAAAAATATTTAATAGAAAAATTAATTAATATTTACATCAAATTCTATGAAAGAATAAAAAAAAATGTTGAGTTAATGAATAATTATTTATTAAAATACCTTTAGCTTAAAAGAAAATAATGACTTATTTACCTATAAAATAAATTATAACACTAATTTTGACCCAAAAATTTAAAAAACTTAAAAAATAACGAATATGACAATTGTCGCTTATTTAGGGTACATCTTAACTGAAATTTTATTTAAACATGTTAGAAATACTTATTTTAGCCCATTTACGTCATAAAAACTTTAAAAATAACAATTATGACAATTGTCATTTATCTAGGGTACATCTTCACTGAAGTTTTATTTAAACATGTTAGCACTACTTATTTTAGCCCATTTCCATCAAACAAATTCAAAAACGTTAAAACTAACGATTATGACAATTGTCACTTATCTAGGGTACATCTTCACTGAAGTTTCATTTAAATATGTTAACAATACTTATTTTAGCCCATTTACGGCAAAAAAACTTTAAAAATAACGATTATGATAATTGTCACTTATCTATGGTACACCTTCACTAAATTTTTAATTTAACATATTAGCAATATTTATTTTTTCCCATTTGCATCAAAAAACTTAAAAAAAACGATTATGACAATTGTCACTTTTATATGATACATCTTAATGAAATTTTTAATTTAACTTGTTAAAAATACATATTTTTGCTTATTAGCGTCAAAAAAATCAAATATGTTTAAAAATACCGATTATGATAATTGTCATTTTTCCAAAGGAACATCTTCATTGAATTTTTAATTTCACATCTTTACATAAATGATATTTTTACTCTTTTGTAACGAATATGGCAATTGTCACATTAAAATATTATCCTTAAAAAGATCATATAAAATATCATAAATAAGTTTAATATAAAAATTTTTTTTAAAAAAACTATTTAGAAAAAACCACCTGTTTTAATATACTTAAAAAAATAGATAATTTTATAAAAATGGTAAAAAAAAAACTATAAAAGATCACAATCTTCAAAAAAGATTTATTTACAAACAAGCAAAATATGTTCAAAAAATATTTTTTGCTTAAAATTTTAGACTTGAAAATCTCTAATAAATTTTAACATAAATAAATATTACAATATCAGTAAATCATTTTTTTTATCAAAAAACATCAAATAAATAAATCCATTTTCATAATATAATATAAATTATTAAGGCTGTGCCTATATTAAATATCGGGTCGGATTGGCACCGATATTTAGCGTTTTACAAAAATATCAAATCGGGCCGATACCTGTAAAAACCCAATCCAATCCGATCTTTTTACTTTTACTTTTCCTTTTTTTCTTATTTTATGTATATTTATTTTACATTAATAATATTTTCTAAATATATTTTTTTAAACAATGCAAATGCACAACACCTCTTAAATTATTTATTTTTTTAAAATATTGACCTGTCAAATACGGTCAAATGTGGTCAAATTCAAATATATGCTTTTTTAAGTTAATATTAACTTTATTTTGAATATAATAGTAAATGAATCTATAATATTAATTTTTTAAATTCATTGTCATTCAATAACTATCATGTAGCTATCTGTAGCAGAGTCTTGTTCTGATTCATATTTAATATTATCATTTTCTTTAATATTTTTTAATCAATTTTCCTGATGTCTTAGATCTTCAATTGATTTCTATTTTCATAAGAATATTAACCCAAATCGACCTATTTTCTAAAGAAGTAGAACTAGGTGTTAATCTCTTAATGGGCAGGGTGGACAAAGTTTAATCTATTAACTTGAGGTCGGAATTGATTGTTTCTGGAAATTACTACTTTCCACATAATTTGCTATATTAAACATGCTGTTTTTGCTTCTGAAATAAATTATATCACTTAAAATATTTTGGTTATCACTATCTTGTAAAATAGCTAATTCTTGAATTATATCACATACTTCATTAATTTCACTACTAGTGAGATATTGTGGACCCAAAAATAAGCAAACATTGTGATCACAAAACATATTTAATTTATTCCTTTAAATTTTTTATAGTATTTGACTATATTTGACCAGGTCTAATAATCATCCGGTCAATTGACTGAATTTGACTGGTCAATTGACCGACTTGCCAAGTATTTTAAGGAACACCCAAAGTTTTATTTATTTTAAATATTTTTAAATAATAACGCCAATTTTATTATTTAAACTTTAAATAAAAGAATTTTTTTAAATGCAGTATCTGAATTATGGAAATATTTTACAAAGGACAAATAATTTTACAAAATGCGTATCTGCGGAATTCTAATTTCATGGGGAGGAATAATGAAAAATATATTAGTAAACTTTTTTTTTAATTATTGTAGAAATAAAAAATTTAATTAAATACATAATTCGATTTTTGCATAAAAAATATTGATTTCTTAATTACATTTGGTTCAAGGGGGGGGGGGTGAAAAATCAACATAATAATCGGATCGTTTTGAACCAATATCGGATCGGATCGGTGAAAAATATTTGGATCGGCACAGCCCTAATTATTATGTTTAAAAAAATTTTAAAAACAAAAAAATAAAAATATTATTAAAAAATATATATGAGGGAACTTGGCATGGTACACGAATTCTAGATTTTTATTATATTCTTTTAAAATATTTAAATAAATAAATTTTGGTTCACAATTAGACTCGAGCCAACTCCTGAGCCAGCTAGAGCCTAAGCCAATTTTTTGGCTCCGACTTTAACAACACTAGTATAGACCATTAAAATGCCATTATTTTATTAGAATTGGAATTTAAGTTGGGGAAATTAATTTATAAGACTAGAAATTTAACCTTGATTTGAAAATTAGTATTTTAATTCAGAAAAAAAAATGTTTAGTACATAGACTTGTGCGCTGCCAGCGAAAAGCTACACTGATTTTTTTATGGCGTCAGTGCGGCGTGCATGATTTTTAGAATGCTATTTAATTATATTTTTATATTAAATTATTATTATTTAAATTTGAACATTAATAAAATTATTGTATGAATTATATTCTTTTGACATATAATAAAATAATGTATGTCATTTACATTCATTCATATTCATATATCATATTTCAAAATTACACAAACATATACATATTCATTTTTTATGGACTTACTACATGTAAACCACCCTAGTTTGTTTATTGCCAGCTAATAATACAGATAGTAACTGATGTTTGGGCTAATTTCAAAAGATGCGTCAGG